GGCCCATAGCCTCCTCTAGCCCTGAGCTGCCGGACCCTGGCTCTGGGCTGCATCTGTCTGCAGAGGCCACTGGACTTGTGCTTCAGGGCCTACTGACCCCTTCACCCCCTGTGGGGACTGAGGACTCCCAAGGGAGCCCAATTCAGGTGGCCACCACCACCTGACCACAAGCTTTCAGGGCCACATAGACAAGGCACAGTCCTCCCATCCTCCCAAAGCTCCCTCCCCATTGCCCAGGGGAGGGCCAGCACTCCGGGGGGGGGGGGGGGGGGGGGGCCCCAGGCGCCTGACAGCCCAGCCATGCAGGGCAGTTCACTGTGTGCCGCAGGCAGCGCAGGGGGCCAGGCCCCAGGTCCCAGCCTTATCTGTTGGCTTTTTATTCAACATCCGCTTGTGAGTACAGGAGCCAGCAGGGTGACGCCCTCTGTGGTCACGCAGCCCTCTGTGGTCACGCAGCCCTGCTTTGGGAGCCCTGGGACTCGGCCTAGGAGCAGGAACTGAGCTGATATTACCAAGATATGGGAGCCCAGCCCCAGGGCCTGGCTCGCCCTGGGGGCCCGTTAGGGAGAGCCTGCGCCCTGAGCCCCTGAGCTCCTCCAGGAGCAGCCTGGATAAGGGCTGTGACCCCGGGGGTTTGTCCAGAACCTGGGCACCAGGGTACATCGAAGGGCATCCAATGGATAGGCCATACTCCTCCCAGAGTGGACTGGGCGCCTCACCCTCCCATGGGGTGGGGACAGAAAGGGGGGGGAGGTACGGGTAGTGGCAGGCAGTGCCGCCTGCACCCATCACCACGGGGCTCTGAAGTCACAGAGGACACCCTGGGGGCTTACCTGAGGTTGCAGGTGGGTAACAACCCTCCCAGGAGGGGGGAGCTGGCTGCAATGTGTCCCCTTGCCCCAGCTAAGCCCTTGCCTGAGGGGAGGAATAACTGGGCCAGAGCCCCATCCTGTGGGGGCTGCCTGGACAATAGGTGGTGTCCAGTTCAAGCCCACCTTTGGCTCTGGCTGTCCTGACCCTGGCGGGAGGCACAGCCCACCAACCCACTTTTGACACCAGCCCTATTGGCTGTGGTTTCTCAGGCCCCAGCACAGTTACCAGTGGACAAAAAGGACCACAGGGCCTGGCCAGGAGGGACAGTAAGCCCCACAGTAGATTTGGGGGCATGTTCCATCCAGCCGGGGCAGAACTGACCTCAGGCGGCAGCCCCCAGTAGGTGGTGGGCTGGGGCCAGGACCCAAGACCAGGGGGAGGGCAGATCACCCCCAAGCCCAGCCCAGGTACCCAGGGGCCAAGGCCAACATGTGGACTAGGGAAGGCCCCCCCAGGAGCACCACAGACAGGCAGCTGCAGAGGGCCTTCTGGGGAGCCTGGAGACCCTTCCCAGGGCCGCACTCCCCTCTCCAGGCCAGAGCCCAGGGCTGAGCTTGGAACCTGCTGGTTCCATTATCATAGCCGGGAGAGGGGGGGCTCTGCAAGGGCCTCTGAAGAGGCAGGGTCAGTTGCTGTCAGGGGTGGGAGCCAGAGGTCAGGAAGTGGACAGGACCTCGGGCATACCAGGGTGGGAGAAGGCACAAGTGCTGGGGCTCCAGCAGGATCCGGCAGCTGGAGCCACGGTAGCTGCAGGACGAATGTGGACAGAGGTGCAGGGCTCACCGTGTTCGGGAGGCACACTGGGCAGCCGGGTTGCACCTGTAGTGGGGGCGTTACCTGTGACACTTGGTGGGGCAGAGAAGGAGGGAGAGTCCCTGCTGGGACGGTGACTGCTGCCCAGACCTCACTGAGCAACAGGCCCAGATGGCTACCACATGCTGCATGCAGGACCTGGGGATATAGCTCCCACGCCTCCGCCACTCCATGCCAGGGTCAATGGGTTCCCACTGTTTTCCCCAAGTAGCAGGTGCCCACGGGCCAGTCCTACCACTCCCTGACCCCACAATGCTCAGCCCAGGTGGCCCTTGTCCCCCTCTGAGGACTGGACCAGGCAGCCCTGAGCTTCACACCCTGATCCGCAGGAAGTCCTGAAATACCCCGGGACCAACCCAGGGTCCACACTCTCTGGTCGGGAGTCAGGACGGGCTCTCCTGGTCACAGCTGGGCCCAGTCCTGGGCCTTGTCAGCCACAAGAGAATTCCTGCTCTGCTGTCAAAATCTATCCCAAACATGCCCCAAAGCCAGTTCTCAGCTCTTTGATCTGATGTTGACCAGCTGCCAAGCCCCGGGGCCGGAGCAGGGGCTGCTCTTCCCTGTCCTCCTTCCAGGGAATGTCACACATGGCCCAGGAGGGGTCCAGTGGGCAGGTACAGGATGGGAGGAGCAGGCTGACCAGGATTTCTGTGAATGAGAAGCAATAAGCCCTGGGTTTGCAGCTCCCTGTAGCCCAGGCCTGTGCTGGAGCCTTCTGGAGGACTTGCCCAGGAGGATGTGCATGTCCTTACCCCAGCCCCAGTGCCAAGCAGAGGTCCTCCCACGGCTATCCAGGAGCCACAGCCTAATGGGCAGTACCTCAGAGTGGAGCCAGGAGGCTGGAGCCAAGCACCTCTCCCTGGACTCTGGGGCAGACCTCGCTGCACCTTAGGCCCAATCCGGATCCTCCTCCACAGCCTGCCTGGGCCCTGGGTGACCACTGCTCATGGATGGCCATAAGAGTCAGGGGTCTGGGCTGGGTGTAAGCGTGGACAATCACCCACTTATATAGCCAGCATGCCCCGCTTTCCAGGCAGCGGAACCGGGTCTTATCGCTGAGATTGCTTCAGGAACAATGGCCACATACACCCTTATCGTCCAGCCTCAGAGCTGTGGGCTTGTTGCACTCGAGCGCTCCCAAGTCAAGAGACAAAAACGCCTTTCAGCAGCAATTTCCTGCCAAACAAGTGTGCTGGGAAGGAGGGGGCCTGAAGCCCTGGCCCGCACCAGGAGGGGCCCTCAGCCAGGGCCACGATAGCACTGTTGGGCAGAGCTGTCCACCCACCTCAGCACATGTCCTGAATGGCAGAGAAGACAGGACAAACCCCAGACAGCTGCCAGCAGCAGACGCAAGCCCAGTGCATGCACACACACAGCCTCACATGACACGTGTCCTTCCAGATGCACAGACACAGGCACACAGTGACACCAGTCCAGCCCCCGCAGACATGCCCTCCAGTCAAATGCCCTTTCCATGCTGGCTGCCCTGATGCAGTGACCAGCCCAAGACCCCAGCCCACCCACAGCTCAGGCAAGGGCAGGTCCCCCACGCTGTGCAGCTGCTCAGCACAACTGGGCAAAAGTTTCACTCCTTACTCTCAGTTTCCCACCTGAACAGGTTGGCTGAGCATGGAAGAACCCCTGAGCCAGGCAGAGGGGTACACCTGTCATCTCAGTGCCTTGGGAGGCTGAGGCAGGAGAATTCCACGTTCAAAGCCAGCCTGGGCAACTTAGCAAGACCCTCAGCATCTCAAAAGAAAATATCAAAAGGACTGGGGATGCAGCTCAGTGGTTGAGCACTCCTGGGTTCAACTCCTAATAGCAAAAGGAAAGAAAAAGAAAAAAGAAAGAAATGAAGAAATAACCCAGAACAGGAAGCTGAGAAGCAGAGTCCAGAGTGAACTTCCACCAGCGGCCTGAACACGTAACTGTGGTTTCACGTGAAAGCAATGTTCTTTTTTTCCCTTTTTTGCTTTTTGGTTTTGTGTGTGTGCTGGGAATCAAATCCACAGCCTTGGACATGCCAAGCACACACCTACCACTGAGCTACACTGCAGTCGGACAGAGTCCCTTCCAAGCTGCAGTTTGCTTAAGGTGAGCACATGACACCCACTGCTTCTGTCTCAGTGCTGCATGTCCCCTCCAGGGCGGGGGGTGGGCGCGGGGGCTGCACTCCAGGGCTTGCCCCTTGGGGGTTGGGGGGAGGCCCCGGGTCCAGGCCAGGGAGGTCAGGCTGAGGCAGTGCTGGGCAGGGACACCGAACCTGCAGTGGGAGCTGCTGGAGGGTCCTACAGGGTAGGACACAAGGCCCTTCCCCAGGAGAGGAGGCACCTGATCCCTGGCTCCGTACAGAGCTGGACAACCCCAGGAGTGACTGGTCAGATCCCGAATCCCCTCCTAAGCTGCAAGAGGGCCCCAGGGAGGACCCCAGCCCTGCCCTCATCCTGGCCTTCAACCTCACCATTGCCCTGACCTTTTGTGGCACTGGCACATGCCGCTATCTGCCCCGCCTCTAGATGTTGTCCCAGAAGCCCACCCTTCTTCCAGTGGGTTGGGCAGCTCTCTGAGGGGGTCCATCAATGCCCACCATTCATCCCCATGGAGGTGGCTCTGGGATGAAGAGACTCCAGGGCCCCTAGTCCTGCTCCTGAGTTGGGTGGCCCCTGCCAGCCGAGCTGCTCAGATCTGGGGGATCACCTCGCAGGAGGTGACCTGTCCTGTGGTTCCCCCATCCCCACCCTCAGAGGAGGCCACGTGAGGAGAGGTATCCAGGTGCGCAGCAACACGGAGACTCCCCTGGGCAGTCCCTCAGGCCTGGCCCCACAGGAGGGAAACTCAGGGGTGAGGGCCCAGCACATGGGCAACTCTCTGGGTATTGGGACCCAGTGGAGGTTAGGGCTCACCCAGAGCTACCCAGCACCCTGTGCTCCCTGACAGGGCAGACAGGGTGCACAAGCCTCCCCAGTAGCCCCCTGGACAATCCCCATCCCGGCCTCCCAGTTGTGTGCTGATGCCGCCCCCAGGGACCCAGTGGGGAGGCCCCTGGGACGGATGGCCCACACACAGGAGGTGTCTGCAGGACCCTGGAGGGTGTGTCCCCTCCCCCGGGGAGTGGGCGATAACGGGCTGCAGCCGCTGCAGAATTTTCCAAGAAAGGTCAGGTGCTGATAAAGTGGAGGCTGAGATCCTGTTTGGCCACTGTGTGCCCGATCAGCAGTGGCAATTACGGCAGAGTGTGGGGCACGGGTGGCGCAACAGGGGCAGGGCCACCACCCCTACATAAAGCCTGTGGGATTAGCACTCAGGCGCAGCGCTGGCAGTGGCAGGACGGCTGGGAGCCCAGCAGAGGTGCCCGGCCAGCAGTTCCTCTCCAGCGGCGACACCATGGTGGGGCTCTGGCTGCTGCTGCTGCTGCCCCACGGGGGAGCCCTGCTCAGCACAGGTGAGTGGGGGCAAGCAGACCCGCCAGAGGGCCGGCGCCCCACGGGCCCTACACGTGGGCCAGTTCCCAGGTCCTCTTGCCTGGCTGACTCTGCCGAGGTGGACTGACCTGTAGGTGCTGATAAATGGGAGCAGGAGGAGCCAGGTCTGCAGGTGCTGCCTCCCCACGGGCCCACATGCCACTGGGTTCTGTCCACCTCCTGGGGAGCTGGGCACAATGGCCAGGGAGGGTGCAGGAATAGGACAGGGGTCCCTTGGGCACAGCCCCTCCAGGAATGTGGGACCTGAAACACAGCAGCTCCAGACGGGTCAGTCTGTCACCCTCCCTCTCTCAACTCAGCCCTGGTCCCTGGGGCCTGAGGGTAGCCAGCAGGTGTGGAGGGGCAGGGACACAAGTCCCTCCATCAGGGAGGCTCATGGCCAGGAGAACAGGATGGACCGCAGAATGGGCCCCTGCCTCAGTCTCCCCTTCTGTAAATGTGGGGAGCTGTCCTGTCCACTGCCTGACCCAGACCACTGCCCTTCAGCAGCAGCTGGGAGCCTGCTGGGGGTGGACAACAGCTAGACAGAGGGCACCCTTGGGGCTGTGCCCAGCCTGGGGCCAAAGCACTGGTCAGTGCTTGGACTCAAGCAGTGTGACTCCCTTCTCCCAGGAGCCCCATCCCCACTGGCCAGGCCTCATCTGCCATGCCAGGGGCAGTGCTGAGCCCCACAGTGAGGGGCCAGGGCTCCAGTCAGGTCGTGTGGGACCCCTGCCCCCTAACCCAGCACACCTGGCAGAGAAGGTGTGGGGTGGAAGAGCCCAGGTTGGGCTTGGGAGCCCCCCCAGTGGGCATTCTTTGTGCACTGACTCTGCACGGACTGGGAGAGGGCGGCGGCCAGCAGAGCATGAGGTCAGACAGCAGGTCATGGGACCTGGGGCTGAGGGAGGCCTGTGGGTCAGCCAGTTAGCCAGGCCACGCAGGGGTGGCGGGCAGGGCCACCAGGCGTGCACAGGAACAGCGAGTGCCCCTGCCGCCCTATGACCTGCCCGGGGCTGAGAAAGCCTGGGGGGGGGGGCAAACCAGCCACCCCAGATGCCTTGGGGCCTGGCGTCGGGTCGGTCAGCAGGAAGCACAGAAAGTCCCTGGAAGGAGAGTCCACAGCACTGACGGCCTCCTGAGTTTCTTCAAAGGGACCTCTGGGGTCAGCGCCAGGTAGTCAGAGACAGAGGCTCAGTGAGGCTGGCACCTGGTAAAAGGAGGGGCTTGGCAGGGGAGCGGAGTCACCCACAGATAGGGACAGGGACCCCGGTGCTGGCAGCTGGAAGTTTGCTGGGCCCCGGGGCCTGGCAGACATAACAATGAGGGGACTGGGGGCCACAGAGCCAGACACAGGTCTAGGGCAAAGAGGGGTGAGAACTGAGCCTTTGCCATTGGCACCATACAAGGTTAGGGTGGACCCAGACGCCACCGTCCATCTGAAAGGTAGAGGACTGAGTCACAGAGGGTTTTGCCCAGAGCAGACTGACCAAGGTCCCATACCTTCAAGAGGTGCTGTCCCTGGGGCACCCTGGAAGGGAAGGCCAGGACCCAGGGCGGGGATGGGTGAGGAGTGGGCACCAGCCTGCGCCCAGCATGAGCCTCACACCCACAGGGGAAGGCAGGCACATGCCACTGCAGCCGAAAACCACCTTTAGGGCCGGGGCCAGCGTGAGTGGGCCCACACACGCCCAGCCTGTCCAGTCTCCAGGCACTCAAACCTGGCGCTCCTGCCAGCCAGAGGACTCTCCCCCAGGCCGAGGCTCAGTCCCTAGGGCCAGACAGCCTCCGTGGCTAGGTGCCTCTGCTCAAGCCTCAGCCACACTCCCGGGGTGCCAGAGGTGCACACACTCTGGAGGTGACTAGCAGCAATGGAAGGGGCAGCGTCACCTCCCAGAGCTTGGCAGAACCTGGGTTAGGGATCCAGGTGGGGAGTGGGAAGAAGGGAACCCCCCTGAGCTGTCTCAAGGGATGCACTGTGTGCACCCAGCTGCTCAGCAGGGGGGAGCCAAGGCAGGGTCAGGCCCAGGAGCACCTGGACAGCCCGGCCAGCATTCAGATACTGCCATGGCCCAAGGGAGCCACAGGAGGGCCAGGTCCCCAAGGTGCGGGGTGGGGGAGGAGGGAAGAATGTGCGTCAACCTGCCCCTTGATGAGGGAGGAAAGGGGTTGGGAGCCAGGAGGCAAACCCACAGGGAGGGCACCCTCACGGCCTGCAGGAGATAGGCTGGCCATCTTCCCAGCTTCCCTACTCCATGGTCACCATGACCCATGCTATTTGGGCATCTCCCTGGTCACAGCTGCCAGTCCAGGACCAACCCAGGGGGCTGTCTTGGAGGCTGCCAGGCAGGAAAGAGGCAGGAAGACGGATGAGCTCAGAGCCCCAGGAGGGCAGACTTGGCCCTCGCTCAGCCCCTGGGCGGTTCACAGAGCTGGACGTGGCTCCCCACAGGGACACCAGGAGTCGTGCTAGGAACAGCAGGATGTAGCCAGGCAGAGGGTTCAGGGGACAACCCGCTCTATCTCCACCCTCGTCACCTGCTTCCCAGAACGCCCCATGCCCACCCTCCTGGCCTCGCCCACCAGCTCCAGCGGCCACCCCACCCCAGCTGCCCAGGAATCTCTGTGTCTTGTTCTCTCTGTCTGCAGACACACAGGAGGGGCCCAACTTGTCTGGGCAGCAAGTGGTGAGGGAAGCCTGGCAGACAGGCCAGCAAGTGTCCTGACCAGAGGATGCCAGAGAGCCATGCCTTGGGGCTGCTGTGCCCTGAGGCTCAGAACTGGTTGCCCAGGGCTGCCCCGCTGGCTGCTCCACTTCTGACTCCCACAAGACAGAGAGTCCCCCCAGGAGTCACTGGGCACTAGAGCACCCAGCTCTGGTCAGAGGTCACCTCCTCAGAAGGTCACCCTTCCCCAGTGGTGGTAGCCTCTCCCCACCCAGCACAGGCTGGCCACCCTTCCATTTGCTCATGGTGGCCGGCAGCTTCTGCAGCCCTGTGCGCACGCATGAGCAATCTCCTGCCCAGGACAGGTCCATGGAAGCACCTCCTGCCCTGTGCCCGTGGCTGGGTCATGGGCCCAGGACAGGGGCTCCATGAAGACAAGTTGAGCTAACACTGCATAGATGAACTGAGAGGAGAGGACAGCAGGAAGGGACCGGACTTGTGCAGGCCACCCAGAAGCTAGCCTCCTCAGGGCTGCTGTGCTGCCCACAAGCCGAGTGTTCCCTGGGTCCTGGGAGGGCAGTGCTGGGCAAAGCCAACAGGGATGGCGTGGGGGCTGCCACTGACCACAGGGCACAGGTCTGGATGCTGCTTCCTTTGCTACCAGGCCTCTGCCCAGAGTGCAGGCTTCACTCATGTACCACACAGGCAGGCTCACCAGAGCATAGCCTGTGTGACAGGGCCCAGGCCACTGCACACCCAGGCCTGGGGCTCCCGGAAAAGCATCAAGCCTCAGAAGAGCCAGTGCTCAGTCTGGAGCTAAGGGCTGATGCCCTGGGCAGCTGCACCACCCCCTGCAGTCTCTCCCTGCCAAGACCCCCTGGGTGAGCCCACTGCAGGGGAGCTGAGCACCGGCCTCCTGTCTTACAGACCCCACGACTGGAAATACCACTGACCCCAGTGCTGAGGGCAGCCTACAGTCCAGTAAGGCCCGGGACGGGGGGTGGAGCCCAGCCCAAGGCCAGCAGCCTGGGAGACAGTGTCCACGGTGTGGGGGGAGGCTTCCAACACACCCAGAAAGCTACACCCCTCCCCGTGTGGGCTCCCAGGGTCCTCAGTGGGGCCATGAGCTGCAAATTGCCCTTCTCTCTGCAGCCCTGAAAAAGGGCTGGTGTTCCTCATGGGGGGCTGGCCACTTCTCCACCTTTGACCACCATGCCTACGACTTCCTGGGGACCTGCAACTACATCTTTGCGGCCAGCTGCAAGGGTGCCTCACCTACCTTCAGCGTCCAGCTGCGGCGAGGGGCGGACGGGAACATCTCTCGGATCATTGTGGAGCTAGGGTCCTCCGTTGTCACCGTGAACGAGACGACGATCTCCATCAAGGACATCGGGTGAGCCAAGGGGCTAGGCCAGGTAGTCAGGGGCTGGGGATCCTGACCCCAAGGATGTCAGGTGAGCCATGGGGCCACCTGGGCAGTTGGGGGCAGACACTGACTGCTCTCATCCACAGGGTGGTCAGCCTGCCCTACACCAGCCATGGGCTCCAAATCACACCCTACGGCCAGAGTGTGCAGCTGGTGGCCAAGCAGGTGGAGCTAGAGCTGGTGGTCATGTGGGGCCCAGACGCCCACCTCATGGTGAGGACTGGGGGCCTGGGCAGGGGCATACGGGCCCAAGGTACAGGGCTCAGGAGGAGCTGCCCTCCTTGGGCAGGGGTCTCAACCTGCTCTGACCCTAATTGGCAGTACAGCCAGGCCCTTTCTGCCAGGCAGCACTGACCCCTGGCCAGTAACCTGGACTGGATCTAGGTTTTCTTGGTAGCTGTTCCCCCACTTAAAAATAAGGAGGATCCAGCAAGAGGTGGAACCCCCCAGGAGGAACAAGGTGTGGGGATGGTGGGGGCCCGGGGAGCAGGAGTGAGTGGCCCGGCCAGCTGGGCAGGAGCCCCTCCTGCACCCCATGGGGCCCAGCAGCACCCGCCCTGCAGGTTCTGGTGGAGAGGAAGTACATGGGCCAGATGTGTGGGCTGTGTGGGAACTTCGACGGGAAGACGGCCAATGAGTTTCTGAGCGAGGATGGTAGGTGGGGAGGGGCAGGCAGGGCTGTGGGGACCCAAGCCCACTTGGCTAGACCCCAAGGCGTTGACCCCCACCCCATGCCCTAGGCAAACTCCTGGAGCCCTACAAGTATGCTGCACTCCAGAAGCTGGACGACCCCAACGAGATCTGCACCTTTGAGGCCATCCCCAGGCCCCCCGTCCTGCAGGCCACACATGTACGTGAGGTGGCCAGGCCCTGGGGCCATGCTGGGGCCAACCCTCAAGGGGTCTGATGGGCGTCTTGGAGCCAACAACCCCACCTTCCAAGACCCAGGCATGGTGTGGGAGGTGCCCTGGCCTGTGTGACCCTGAGTGGTCTGCTGCCCAGGTTGGGATCTGCACCCAGCTGCTGACCTTGGTGTCCCCTGAGTGTGATGTGCCCAAGAAGCCATTGGTGCTGAGCTGCCAGGTGGACATGGCTGCATGTGCCCAGCCGGGCCAGCAGAACTGCAGCTGTGCCACTCTGTCTGAGTACTCCCGCCGGTGCAGCATGGCACACAGGCCTGTCAGCAACTGGCGGGGCCCCGGCCTCTGCTGTGAGTCCCGGTGGGATGGGGCGGGGCTGGGGTAGCCGCAGGAAGGCCCCTCCTGGGTGGGGTCTGGGCTGCTGGCTGGGGTGAGGCCTCTCACAGACCCTGTGCCTCCTAGCCGTGGGCCAGTGCCCAGCCAACCAGGTGTATCAGGAGTGTGGCACGGCCTGCATCAGGACCTGCTCCAACCCACAGCACAGCTGCTCCAGCCCCTGCACCTTTGGCTGCTTCTGCCCCAAAGGTGAGGCAGGTGCTGGCTCCCACTGTCCCCAACACCTGGAGATGAGCCCTGAGAAGGGACAACACACCCTGCCTGACTTGAGCACAGACTTTCTGCAGTTGGAGCCCCAATCCCAGGGCCCCTCTGCCCACCCCCAAACCTCACAGCTCCTACGGACCTAGGAACCCACAGCCACACTTGCAAACCCACAGGCGTGAGTGGGGCCAAGGGGTGGGGGTCAGGGGGACCAAGAACTGCTGCGGATAGGTGGGCTTTCAGGTGGGCCTGAGGCAGTTATGCATCCGAGACTCGCCAGGCCTGCCCCTCACCTGGGCCTGCACCTTGGTAAGGACCAGCAAGGCCTGCGCAGGACGGCCAGGGAGGGAGCATCCAGCGGGAGGGTGGGAGGAGGTCAGTCCCACCCAAGCCCAAGAAGCCACTTTCTGGCAGGAATGGTACTCAATGACCTCTCCAACAACCACACCTGCGTGCCGGTCAGCCAGTGCCCCTGCATGCTCAATGGAGTCGCCTACAGCCCTGGGGAGGTCGTGAGGGCTGCCTGCCAAAGCTGGTGAGTACTAGGGAGGGCCCCTGCTGGCCTGGAACACAGGGGAGGAAGGCCACTTACAGGGTCACCCCCTGTGGCCCCGCAGCCAGTGCACCATGGGCCACTGGACGTGCACAGGGCAGCCGTGCCCGGGCCACTGCTCTCTGGAAGGCGGCTCCTTTGTCACCACATTCGATGCCAGGCCCTACCGCTTCCACGGCACCTGCACCTACATCCTCCTCCAGGTAGGACGGGCTTCGGGGCTGGTGGGGAGGGTGTGGTCCCTCCATCCCTGAGGAACCTGGCCCCCCACAGAGCCCCCAGCTTCCCAACGAGGGCACGCTCATGGCCGTGTATGACAAGTCGGGCTACTCACACTCAGAGACGTCCCTGGTCGCCATCGTCTACCTGTCCGGGCAGGTACGGCTGCCCCCACAAACAGAGGTGGGCCCAGCTCTTGCCTGCTCTCAGCCCTCCCTGATGCAGGCTGCCCTCCCTCCAGGACAAGATTGTAATCTCCGAGGATGAGGTGACCAACAATGGAGACACCAAGTGGCTCCCCTACCAGACCCGTATGTCCCTGCCCAGCTCCGGGGCCTCCTGGGCCACGCCTCTGGGGGCAGGCCTGACAGCCTGCTGAGCACCTGCCCTTGCAGGCAACATCACCATCTTCAGACAGACGTCTACCCACCTCCAGATGGCCACCACCTTCGGGCTAGAGATCGTGGTCCAGCGTCAGCCCGTCTTCCAGGTGTACATCACCCTCGGGCCGCAATTCAGAGGCCAGACCAGAGGTGAGCCCCCACCCCTGCCTTGGCCAGGTGGGGAAGGACACACGAGAGACTGGCACTGGCCCTGCACATGCAGGGAGCCCACAGGAGCGTGGCCACCTGAGGCCAGTAGCCTGTCATGGGGACACAGCAGGACACTGCTGGGGTGCAAGGGGGCACAGGAAGGGCAGGTGGGGCTTGGCCCTCACGGTCTGCTGCGCAGGGCTCTGTGGCAACTTCAACGGGAACACGACCGATGAGTTCACAAGCAGCGCAGGCATCGACGAGGGCACAGCTGCACTCTTCGTGGACTCCTGGCGGGCGGGGAACTGCCCAGCTGCCCTGGAACGGGAGATCGACCCCTGCTCCATGAGCCAGCTCAACAGTGAGTCCACCTGCCCTGCCTCCCAGGCCTGGGGCTGGGGAGGGGACACAGGACCCACAGCCAGTTTGTCGCCCTAGAGATGTACGCAGAGACCCACTGCTCGGTGCTGCTAAAGAAGGATGGTGTGTTCGAGAAGTGCCATGCCGTGCTGGACCCCAAGCCTTTCTACAAGGTGGGCCTACAGGCACCTGGGGAGGCAACACAGTCCTGGGCACCTGGGGCTATGGCCAGGGAGAGGAGGTGCCATGTCCCGCCACGGCTGGCTCTTCCCGCAGAGGTGCGTGTACCAGGCCTGCAACTATGAGGAGACCTTCCCGCACATCTGCGCAGCCCTGGGCGCCTACGTGCACGCCTGCTCCTCCCAGGCCGTGCTGCTCGGGGACTGGAGGGACAGCGTGTACAACTGCAGTGAGTGCAGCAGGCCAGGGGGTGGAGTCGGGGGTGGCTAGGACATGGAGTCCCAGGCCGCTTCTGCCTGGCCGCCCCACTGGCCAGTGGGCAGCACGGCCCAGACCACAGGCCCCAGCTGCCATGCGGAGGGCCTGACCCCAGCTCCCTGCAGCCATCCCTTGCACCGGCAACCGCACCTTCAGCCAGCAGAGCCAGGCCTGTGACCACACCTGCCTATCCCTGTCCAACCGCGAGGTGGAGTGCCACCCCAGCGCAGTGCCCGTGGATGGCTGTAACTGCCCTGATGGCACCTACCTGGACCACAGGAATGAGTGTGTGCACAAGGCCCAGTGCCCCTGCCTGCTGGAGAGTCACAAGTTCATCCTGGCCGGCCAGTCCACCATGGTCAACGGCATCATCTGGTGCGGGTTGGGCCTGGGGGTGTGGGGCATCGGGGCGCAGGCTCATGCAGCCTCTTGGGGGCATTGGGTGCAGGCTCACGTAGCCTCATGCAGCCTCTTTCTTATAGCCACTGCATCAATGGACGGCTGAGCTGCCCAGGGCAATCGCAGGTGTTCTTGGGTACGTACAGCTGCAGAAGCCACCCAACGGGGGACCCAGAGGCACCCGTGGCCTCCCTCCTCTGAGACCCTAACCCCACTCTCCACTCCTGCAGCTTCCTGCCCAGCCCCCAAGACATTCCAGTCCTGCAGCCAGTCCTCAGAGGACAAGTTTGGGGCCGCATGTGCCCCCACGTGCCAGATGCTGGCCACCGGCATCACCTGTGTAAGTGGCAGTGAGAAGCAGCTCAGGGGCCTAGAAAGGGTTGTCACAGGCCCAGGAGGCTGCTCTGCCCTCACCCCTCTGTCTCCATCTCTGTCTGTCCCAGCTGCAAGTGTGGGCTGTGGGTCAGGGGTCAAGAGTAACTCTGTGGCCAAGCAGCTGGATGAGCATGCTCACCTGCAGGGCTCTGTGGGGGCAGGGCCAGCCTGGGGCACCGGGCGCTCAGGCCCCGGGCCAGGGCAGCCTCAGGCAGGCAGCATGGAACCTTCCCTTAGAGAGGTGGCTCTACCAAGAAAGACCCCCGCAGGATTCACGGAAGTGCCTGGGAAGAAGGCCAGGGCTGGGGCGGCAGGCTGGGGCTGCCCTCCAGGCGATGCTGACCCAGCCCCCTCCAGGTGCCCACTAAGTGTGAGCCTGGCTGCGTCTGTCCTGAGGGGTTCTACGAGAATACCAGTGGGCAGTGTGTGCTCCCCGGGCAGTGCCCCTGTGACTTTGCGGGGGTCTCCTACCCCGGGGGTGCTGTGCTCCGCACCGACTGCAAGAACTGGTAAGCCACACCTCACCCTTGGAGCCCAGGTCCCTGGGACTATCTGGACAGACAAGGGGCACCCAGGGTGGGGGACCCAGGGGTGGAGTGTCCAGGAATGGGATGCCCAGAGCTGAGGTCCCCAGAGGCAGGGTGCCCAAGGCCTCCAAGAACCCCAGGGACCTCACCACATGTGGGAAGAGAGCTGCCTCAGCACCCCACCCTGCCCTCTCCACAGCACCTGCTCACAGGGGAGGTGGACCTGCCAGCAGAGTGCCCATTGCCCATCTACCTGCATTCTCTATGGGGAGGGCCACATAATCACTTTCGATGGGCAGCGCTTCGTCTTTAATGGCAACTGCAAGTACACTCTGGCCACGGTAACTGCCAGGACCCCAGGAGCCAGGCGACAGGGACTGGGCTGGGCTGGGCACCCAGGGCTCCTCCTCAGCACCCTCATCCCTGCAGGATGACTGTGGTGCCAACTCCCAGCCCAGCTTCAAGATCCTGGTGGAGAACGTCGTCTGTGGGAAGTCAGGGGCAACCTGCTCCCGAGCCATCCAGATCCTCCTGGGCGTGAGCAGCGGGACCCCCCACAGGGCAGGAGAGGGCTGGGCCCATCACACAGCTAGGCCCTCACTGTCCAGGACCCTCAGGTCCCATCTTTGCTGTGCAGCCCCCCCTTCCCACCCCCTCCTCACCTGCACGACAGGGAGGGAGGAGGGCGTGCCCATTGCCCCCAGAAACCATTCACCAAGTGGGCATCTTGATGTTCTGCACTAGTGGCTGATGACCACCACCTCCTTCCAGGGCATCACCTGGGCAGATGGAAGGGTGTCCTCCAGGGGGCCGAGCCTGTTCCCATACTCACTGGAACCTTCTGCCTGGGGCTGACTCCCAGCAGGTGCCCCTGCCCAAGTCCTTGATGGACTTGGTCAGCCTTGCCTTATACACTCAGTCCTGGGGCAGCCCCAGGGACCACAGAGGCCGACCAGCAGGCAGCCAGTGACAGCCCTGTCTCCACAGGGCCTGACTATCACGATGGCGGACAGAAACTACTCCATCAGCGGGGAGAACTCCCAGGTGCACGTGCTGGTGAAGCCCAGCTCCTTGAACCTGGTTCTGGACATAGATATCCCCAACCGGCTCAACATGACGCTGGTCTGGAACAAGCACATGAGCGTCTCCATCAGGGTCCATCGTGCCTCCCAGGTACCTGCCACGCTGGCCAGACACAACCCTGGTCCAGCCAGAGCCCTGTGGTCTCAGGGTGGGGTGGATCAGGAAGGCCGCACATTCCCTGCCTGACACAGAGTCCCGCAGGATGCCCTCTGTGGCTTGTGTGGCAACTGCAATGGGAACATGAAGGATGACTTTGAGACACGCAGCAAGTACGTGGCATCCAACGAGTTGGAATTCGTGAACTCATGGAAGGAGAGCCCGCTGTGCAGGGACGCGAGCTACGCAGAAGACCCCTGCAGCCTCAACCCCTTCCGCCGCCCCTGGGCAGAGCGCAAGTGCAGCATCATCCACAGCCAGACCTTCACAGCCTGCCACAGCAAGGTGGGCCCTTGGGCACGGCCTACAGCGCCCAGGGCTCATGACCCACCCTGGCCCAGAGTGGAGAAGCCAAAGTCCTCCCACGGTTGGGGGGTGGACATGGAGAGGGCAGAACCCACCATCCAAGACAGGAGCCCTGCACTAAGGTCCGACTGCTACAGGGTGCTTAGCAGCACCCCAGGCCTCTGCCCTCCAGAAGAGGGTGGTGGCCTCCAACAGTGTCAGCAGAATTCAGGTGGAAAGCCCACTCTGCAGCACCTGGTCAGGGGAGGAGACCTGGGGCTGCCCAGGGTAAGGACCTGGACACTCAGGTTCTCAGGCTTAGCAAGCACTGAAAGGAGGGTCCTCATGGCCCAGGGGCCAGCGAAAAGTCGCTGAGGCAAGGAGCTCAGTGCTGCAGATGCTGAGCCCAGAGCACAGGGACGGGGCAGGTCGGGGGGACCCTGGCCCCGGGGCGGTCTCTGGGAGCTTGAGCGCCCATCAGAATCCTCCCTTGTGGTCTCAGCCGAGCCCCTGCAGCACTGACCTGGGCAGACCTGCAGGGCAGGGGTGGCTGAGCACGGGTCTGCAGCGGCACAGACAGGCCTGGCCCTGGCCCTGCAGGTCTACCGCATGCCCTACTACGAGGCCTGCGTGCGGGACGCCTGCCTGTGCGACAAGGGTGGGGACTGTGAGTGCCTATGTGATGCAGTGGCTGCCTATGCCAAGGCCTGCCTGGACAAGGGCGTGTGCGTGGACTGGAGGGCCCCAGACTTCTGCCGTGAGTGCCCTGCCCCACCCCCAGTAGCTCTGAGCCCTGCAGGGCCATGCCCGGCCCCGCCCCGAGGCCCTGCCAACAGAACCCAGACCTCCCACATGGACTGACCACTGCCTTTCCTCCAGCCATCTACTGCGACTTCTACAACACCCACTCGCAGGTGGGCGACGGCAAGTTCCAGTACACGCAGGAGGCCAACTGCACGTGGCACTACCAGCCCTGCCTCTGCCCTGGCCGCCTGGACAGCTTCCCAGACACGAATGTCGAAGGTGGGGGCACAGGCACCTTGTTTCCTCATGTGTGCACTCATCACTGACACACACACACAATTGTTTGCACGCTCATACACACACCCACTCGCACACCAAACCGCGCCTTCAGGCACCAACAGCCTCCTTCACCCACAGTCTCCTCCCTTCCACCTGGCCTTTCACGCACTCCTGCTCACAGTCACAGATTCACCACACACGTTCACTCAGCAACGCCCAGGCCCAGAGCGGGGTTAGGGACAGGGCCTCACAGAAAACAAACTGCTCTGACATCCACTCTGGCCAGAGTGTCGTGAAAAACAGGCAAGGAAGTAAGACACTCAGGCACAGCCTGGTAGAGGACAAGACGGGAAGAGCCCAGGGGACAGGAGGGGAGGGGACAGGAGGGGGAGGGGACAGGAGGGGAAGGGGACAGACAGGGGAGGGGACAGGAGGGGAGGGGACAGGAGGGGAAGGGGACAGGAGGGGAAGGGGACAGGAGGGGAGGGGACAGGAGGGGAGGGGACAGGAGGGGAGGGGGACAGGAGGGGAAGGGGACAGGAGGGGAAGGGGACAGGAGGGGAAGGGGACAGGAGGGGAAGGGGACAGGAGGGGAAGGGGACAGACAGGGGAGGGGACAGGAGGGGAAGGGGACAGGAGGGGAGGGGACAGGAGGGGAAGGGGACAGGAGGGGAAGGGGACAGGAGGGGAAGGGGACAGGAGGGGAAGGGGACAGACAGGGGAGGGGACAGGAGGGGAAGGGGACAGGAGGGGAAGGGGACAGGAGGGGAAGGGGACAGACAGGGGAGGGGACAGGAGGGGAAGGGGACAGGAGGGGAAGGGGACAGACAGGGGAGGGGACAGGAGGGGAAGGGGACAGGAGGGGGAGGGGACAGGAGGGGAAGGGGACAGGAGGGGAAGGGGACAGACAGGGGAGGGGACAGGAGGGGAAGGGGACAGGAGGGGAAGGGGACAGGAGGGGAAGGGGACAGGAGGGGAAGGGGACAGACAGGGGAGGGGACAGGAGGGGAAGGGGACAGGAGGGAAAGGGGACAGGAGGGGGAGGGGACAGGAGGGGGAGGGGACAGGAGGGGGAGGGGACAGGAGGGGAAGGGGACAGGAGGGGAAGGGGACAGACGGGGGAGGGGACAGGAGGGGAAGGGGACAGGAGGGGAAGGGGACAGGAGGGGAAGGGGACAGGAGGGGAAGGGGACAGACAGGGGAGGGGACAGGAGGGGAAGGGGACAGGAGGGGAAGGGGACAGGAGGGGAAGGGGACAGACAGGGGAGGGGACAGGAGGGGAAGGGGACAGGAGGGGAAGGGGACAGGAGGGGAAGGGGACAGGAGGGGAAGGGGTCAGACAGGGGAAGGGGACAGGAGGGGAAGGGGACAGGAGGGGAAGGGGACAGACAGGGGAGGGGACAGGAGGGGAAGGGGACAGGAGGGGAAGGGGACAGGAGGGGAAGGGGACAGGAGGGGAAGGGGACAGGCAGGGGAAGGGGACAGGAGGGGAAGGGGACAGGAGGGGAAGGGGACAGGAGGGGAAGGGGACAGGCAGGGGAAGGGGACAGGAGGGGAAGGGGACAGGAGGGGAAGGGGACAGGAGGGGAAGGGGACAGACAGGGGAGGGGACAGGAGGGGAAGGGGACAGGAGGGGAAGGGGACAGGCAGGGGAGGGGACAGGAGGGGAAGGGGACAGGAGGGGAAGGGGACAGGAGGGGAAGGGGACAGACAGGGGAGGGGACAGGAGGGGAAGGGGACAGGAGGGGAAGGGGACAGGAGGGGAAGGGGACAGGAGGGGAAGGGGACAGGCAGGGGAAGGGGACAGGAGGGGAAGGGGACAGGAGGGGAAGGGGACAGGAGGGGAAGGGGACAGACAGGGGAAGGGGACAGGAGGGGAAGGGGACAGGAGGGGAAGGGGACAGGAGGGAAAGGGGACAGGAGGGGAAGGGGACAGGAGGGGAAGGGGACAGGAGGGGAAGGGGACAGGAGGGAAAGGGGACAGACAGGGGATCCCAGGGCAAACAAGCAGTGGAGCCAGTGCAGCCAGGGCCAGAGCGAGGAGCGGTGGCCACCAGGACAGAGCCCTGGTACCCAGGAAGGGGGTTTCCGAGCTGGGAGTGAAGTGAGAGGAAGGCCGGGGCTGGTGGGGCTCGAGCCACAGGGGGACCCTGCTGGTGGCAGGGAGCTGGGTGCCAGCTGGTGCTGAGCCTGGCCCTCCTTTGCCCTAGGCTGCTACAACTGCTCCCAGGATGAGTACTTCGACCACCGCACGGGGACCTGTGTGCCCTGCAGTAAGTCCAGCTGCAGGCAGGCAGCGTGTCTGCCTGCCAGATGTGGGATGCCCTGGTGCTCCAGGCCCCTCACAAGCTGCTGTCCAGCCCAGTACCCACTCCTCAGGGCCCTGCCCCTTGAGGGACTGAGACTCCCACAGACAGGCCGTGTGGCCGTAGACAGCAGAGACAGAGGACAGCACTGGACGCCTCTGGCCCCCCGTCTGCTCCACAGACCACATACTCACCCAGCTCCAGCTCAGAGCAGAGCCCCCAGGCCTGACAGGGTATTGGGGAGCCCACTGGGAATCTTCCTGGGAATCCAGTTCATTCAGCAAGAGATACCACTGGGCCACAGCAGCCGGGCAGCTTGCTTCTCCAAGCCAGCTGAGAGCAGAGGAAGGGAGGAGACGGGGAGGAGGCAGGCCGCTCAGCGCCCGGCCTGGGTGGCATTCCCCTGCCCCTGCCATGAAGAGCACACAACTCTGCCTAGGCCTGCTCAAGGAACCCCTGGGCGAGGGCTGGGGGCCACATGGGCAGTGGCATCTGACCACCCTCTTCTTACAGTGCCATCCAACACAACCCTGCCGCTGCTGCCGACCACAGGTGACTGCGCTCACTGGCTGCCACAGGGTGTGGGCGTGCTGGCTGGGGACTTTAGCCCAGCAGGGGAGGGGGCAGGGAACACGAGTGTGAACCCCAGGTCCAAAGGGGGAGGGCATGCAAAATTTACCTCCATAGCCCTGCCCACTCAGCCCTTGCTGGACCGGCCACTGAGCATGAGGCAGGGACTCAACAGTAAGTCACCCAGAAGACCCCACCTGGAGCCCATGCTGCCATCAGAGGCTCAGCCATGCCCTGGGCCTTACACTCCATCCCTCCAGCCCAGGGGCCATAAGGCTGGGTGGCAGGAAAAGGCGAGACTCAAGGGGGTGCAGGTCTGCCCCTGCCTGTGCATGAGGGCAGGTCTGCCCCACGCAGGTGCACCACCCACAGAAGTCCAGCCCAGCACAGGGGCCTCCAGGACCACCAGCCCTGGGCCTAGCTCCCTACCCATAGCTACGTACCCCACTGCCCAACCCTCAACCCCTGCCTCCACTGAGGACTGGACACTCTTGACCACACGGATGCCATCTGCACTCTCCTCAGGCGGTAACATGGAGGGGACACTGGAGTATCTGGCGGGTGTGGGGAGGGGTATCATCTGCATCCCACCCCTCAACACACAGCAGACCTCCTGCTGCCTGGGACTATGAGAGGACAGAGCATTAATCCACCCAGCTGACCATAAGTAGGCAGAGAGATAGCCCCACATGAGCCTATGGTCACTGCCACAAGGCCATCATTTCCAGAAGTGATGTGGGAGACATAAGAGCAAGGCCAGGGGAGGCAAGAGGCCAGGGTTCCTCCAAGGAGACCCCACAGGGGACCCTGGCTCACAGGAAAGGGGCAGGGACTCAGGCACAAGCCTAAGAGATGCAGGTGGGAACACAAGATGACACTCTGGGTGGCAGTCCTTGGCAAAATCACCTCCAATGACAGGAGCCACCTCTAACCTCACAGCCACACGGAGGTCAACAGCCACAGGACTGACGGTGACGGAAGCCATAACACAGGCCACAGCAGCTCCGGAGAGCCAAGGCACAAAGTCCACAGCTCAGTCCACAGCAAGAACCACGGAGGCCCCACCAAGCTCAAGAACAGGAACGCTTCCCAGCCAAGGTGAGTGGTGGCCGGGAGGTCAGCTTCCCACAGCCACACGTGCCACAGGGTGCCACAGGTGGGCCACACCCTGAGAAAGCAGAAAGGCAAGTCCAAGAACAAGGGACAGCGAGCCCAAGGGGACAGAGGACAGAGGCAGAGAGGAGGGGGCAGAGCCAGAAAGACGCTCACAGACATGGGAACTGAGAACAGGTGCAAGAGGGCCACAGTTAGGACGGCAGACCCATGAGGACACACGGACCACACCTCCAAGCCAACACAGAGGTCCAGAGAAAGAGACAGGTGACCAAAGAAAGGTGCTTCAGGGTCAGACACACTGAGGACAAACACCCACCAGCGAACCCTCAGGGACAGGCCCTCCAGACAGAGCAGGAGTCTGGAGTTCAGGACTGAATGGTAACACATGTCCTGGATCCACAGAGACACCAACCCACCAGGAAATGCTCACAACCACCAGGAGTCCTGGGACCAGCAGCACAGAGCCACCGGGTGCTCTCAGAACAACATCCTCACAGCAAGCAGCCGATGACACTGAAACCTCAACAGCAGCCACACCCAGTCTAGGGACAGAAAACACAGCCTCCTCCATCAAACCACATGGAACCACCATCACCACACGGCACACGTCCGCCACGGCGACCGCAAACACTACGCACAGCTCCAACACCCTCACAGGGGGATTGCATACGACAACTGGTCTCAGGACCTCACTGACCTCTCTGGTTTCCACACTGTCCACCCTGTCTCAAACACAAACTTCTGAAAGCCATACAAGTCCATCTAGCCAAGAGGTCCCCTCTAAAAACTCGGACACAAGTTCAATGACCACCACTCTCTCCACCACAGTGGTCAGGGCCACTGGACCCACCTACACCTCTCCCCTGATCACTACGTCTACCAGTGCCCCCCACAGGTCCTTCGTCACTTCCACAACCTCCCCTGCCTCCCTGTCACACCTTTCCTCCTCCCCACATCCCAAACCCACCTCACCCCTGTCCACCAACATCACACCCACACCCACCAATACACAAACGGGGACCCCGGTGGCCCACACCTCCTCTGCCACTCACACCAGTACACAAACCTCACGGACCTCTCCGTCTTCAAACACCGCGTCTGCCTCCAACACTGCCCACCCTTCCGTTCCCCTCCCAGGAACATCCGTCCAGATCACCAGCACATATCCACCTCCACCCGGTCCCCAGACCTCACTTACCTCTCGGGCTTCCACATTGTCCACCCCTTCTCTCACACCAACTCCTCAGAGCCTCAGCAGCCCATCCAGCCCACAAGTGCTTTGGAGCACCTCTACCCCAAGCTTCATTAGTTCCAGTCCTACAACCATAACCGTCAAGCCCACGGCACCCACAGCCACTCTACCACTGATGACCACATCTACCAGGGCCTCCACACAGGCCCCCAGCTTGATCAGTACTTTTAGGACCTCCCCTGCCCCTCTCCCACACCCTACGTCCACTCCGCACACAAAATACACATTACCTATTGCCACCACCATCACACAAACAGGGAGCCCCAGGACACTTACCTCCGAGTCCCCTCACAGCACTCCACTCATGACATGGACCTCTCAGGCTTCATACACCTCTTCTGCCTCCACCACGGCTCACCCGTCCCTGCACCTCACAGCTACACCCCTCAAGACCACCAGCTCATTTCCAACTCCTACCACTCCCAACACCTCCCTTTCCCCGCTGGTTACCACACTGTCCACTGGCTCTCTCACGCCATCTTCTCAGAGCATCCCCAGCCCATCCAGCCCTGAGGTTCTCTGGAGCACATCCTCTCCGGGGTCAACGGGCTCCAGTCTTTTAACCACAACAGTCAAGGCCTCTGGACCGACAAGCACGGCACCACTGACAACCATATCTACCAGGGCCACTACACGAGCCAACACCTCCGTCACCACTTCCAGAACCTCCACTGCAACTCTCTCCTTCCCATCAACCACTACTTACTTGAAAAGCACTTTACCTCTAGCCACCACCATCAAGCAAACCATGAGCACGATGTCACTCACCTCCGGGACCCTTCTTACCACGCAACAAATCCCATCCACCTCTCACCCCTTGTACACCACGTCGGCCTCCACCACGGCCCGCCCTTCCATCCAGCTCACGGGAACGTCCCTCAAGACCAGCAGCACATTCCCAACGCCTAGTGGGCCCCTGACCTCACCTACTTCTCTCGTTTCCACACTCTCCACCCTCTCTCTCACACCAACTTCTCAGACCCTCAACACACAATCCACTACAGAGGTCCCCTCTGAGAGCCACCACCCAAGTTCAATGACCACCACTCTCTCCACCACAGTGGTCAGGGCCACTGGACCCACCTACACCTCTCCCCTGATCACTACGTCTACCAGTGCCCCCCACAGGTCCTTCGTCACTTCCACAACCTCCTCTGCCTCCCTGTCACACCTTTCCTCCTCCCCACATCCCAAACCCACATCACCCCTGTCCACCAACATCACACCCACACCCACCAATACACAAACGGGGACCCCGGTGGCCCACACCTCCTCTGCCACTCACACCAGTACACAAACCTCACGGACCTCTCAGTCTTCAAACACCGCGTCTGCCTCCAACACAGCCCACCCTTCCGTTCCCCTCCCAGGAACATCCGTCCAGATCACCAGCGCATATCCACCTCCACCCGGTCCCCAGACCTCACTTACCTCTCGGGCTTCCACATTGTCCACCCCTTCTCTCACACCAACTCCTCAGAGCCTCAGCAGCCCATCCAGCCCACAAGTGCTTTGGAGCACCTCTACCCCAAGCTTCATTAGTTCCAGTCCTACAACCATAACCGTCAAGCCCACGGCACCCACAGCCACTCTACCACTGATGACCACATCTACCAGGGCCTCCACACAGGCCCCCAAATCGATCAGCACGTTCAGGACCTCCCCTGCCCCTCTCCCACACCCTACGTCCACTTTACACACAAAATCCACATTACCTATTGCCACCACCATCACACAAACATGGAGCCCTGAGGCACTTAACTCTGAGTCCCCTCACAGCACTCCACTCATGCCATGGACCTCTCAGGCTTCATACACCTCTTCTGCCTCCACCACGGCTCACCCGTCCCTGCACCTCACAGCTACACCCCTCAAGACCACCAGCTCATTTCCAACTCCTACCACTCCCAACACCTCCCTTTCCCCGCTGGTTACCACACTGTCCACTGGCTCTCTCACGCCATCTTCTCAGAGCATCCCCAGCCCATCCAGCCCTGAGGTTCTCTGGAGCACGTCCTCTCCGGGGTCTGCGGGCTCCAGTCTTTTAACCACAACAGTCAAGGCCTCTGGACCGACAAGCACGGCACCACTGACAACCACATCTACCAGGGCCACTACACGAGCCAACACCTCCGTCACCACTTCCAGAACCTCCACTGCAACTCTCTCCTTCCCATCAACCATTACTTACTTGAAAAGCACTTTACCTCTAGCCACCACCATCAAGCAAACCATGAGCGCGATGGCACTCACCTCCGGGACCCTTCTTACCACGCAACAAATCCCATCCACCTCTCACCCCTTGTACACCACGTCGGCCTCCACCACGGCCCGCCCTTCCATCCAGCTCACGGGAACGTCCCTCAAGACCAGCAGCACATTCCCAACGCCTAGTGGGCCCCTGACCTCACCTACTTCTCTGGTTTCCACACTCTCCACCCTCTCTCTCACACCAACTTCTCAGACCCTCAACACACAATCCACTACAGAGGTCCCCTCTGAGAGCCACCACCCAAGTTCAATGACCACCACTCTTTCCACCACAGTGGTCAGGGCCACTGGACCCACCTACACCTCTCCCCTGATCACTACGTCTACCAGTGCCCCCCACAGGTCCTTCGTCACTTCCACAACCTCCCCTGCCTCCCTGTCACACCTTTCCTCCTCCCCACATCCCAAACCCACCTCACCCCTGTCCACCAACATCACACCCACACCCACCAATACACAAACGGGGACCCCGGTGGCCCACACCTCCTCTGCCACTCACACCAGTACACAAACCTCACGGACCTCTCCGTCTTCAAACACCGCGTCTGCCTCCAACACAGCCCACCCTTCCGTTCCCCTCCCAGGAACATCCGTCCAGATCACCAGCACATATCCACCTCCACCCGGTCCCCAGACCTCACTTACCTCTCGGGCTTCCACATTGTCCACCCCTTCTCTCACACCAACTCCTCAGAGCCTCAGCAGCCCATCCAGCCCACAAGTGCTTTGGAGCACCTCTACCCCAAGCTTCATTAGTTCCAGTCCTACAACCATAACCGTCAAGCCCACGGCACCCACAGCCACTCTACCACTGATGACCACATCTACCAGGGCCTCCACACAGGCCCCCAAATCGATCAGCACGTTCAGGACCTCCCCTGCCCCTCTCCAACACCCTACGGCCACTCCGCACACAAAATACACATTACCTATTGCCACCACCATCACACAAACAGGGAGCCCCAGGACACTTACCTCCGAGTCCCCTCACAGCACTCCACTCATGACATGGACCTCTCAGGCTTCATACACCTCTTCTGCCTCCACCACGGCTCACCCGTCCCTGCACCTCACAGCTACGCCCCTCAAGACCACCAGCTCATTTCCAAATCCTCCTACAGCCCACACCTCACTCACCTCCCTAGTTTCAACACTGTCCACTGGCTCTCTCACACCATCTTCTCAGAGCATCCCCAGCCCATCCAGCCCAGGAGGGCTCTGGACCGCCTCCTCCCCGAGGTCAACGGGATCCAGTCTTTCCACTACAGGAGTCAAATCCACTGGACCTACAAGCACTGCACCACTGGTAACCACATCTACCAGGGCCACTACACGAGCCAACACCTCGGTCAGGACTTCCAGATCCTACACTGCCCCTCTGCCTTTCCCATGGACCACTACTTACCAGAAAACCACATTACCCTGGGCTTCCACCATCAAGCAAACCATGAGTCCAGTGGCACTCACCTCCGGGACGCTTCTTAGCACGCAACAAATCCCATCCACCTCTCACCCCTTGTACACCACGTCGGCCTCCACCACGGCCCGCCCTTCCATCCAGCTCACGGGAACGTCCCTCAAGACCAGCAGCACATTCCCAACGCCTAGTGGGCCCCTGACCTCACCTACTTCTCTCGTTTCCACACTCTCCACCCTCTCTCTCACACCAACTTCTCAGACCCTCAACGCACAATCCACTACAGAGGTCCCCTCTGAGAGCCACCACCCAAGTTCAATGACCACCACTCTCTCCACCACAGTGGTCAGGGCCACTGGACCCACCTACACCTCTCCCCTGATCACTACGTCTACCAGTGCCCCCCACAGGTCCTTCGTCACTTCCACAACCTCCACTGCCTCCCTGTCACACCTTTCCTCCTCCCCACATCCCAAACCCACATCACCCCTGTCCACCAACATCACACCCACACCCACCAATACACAAACGGGGACCCCGGTGGCCCACACCTCCTCTGCCACTCACACCAGTACACAAACCTCACGGACCTCTCAGTCTTCAAACACCGCGTCTGCCTCCAACACAGCCCACCCTTCCGTTCCCCTCCCAGGAACATCCGTCCAGATCACCAGCACATATCCACCTCCACCCGGTCCCCAGACCTCACTTACCTCTCGGGCTTCCACATTGTCCACCCCTTCTCTCACACCAACTCCTCAGAGCCTCAGCAGCCCATCTAGCCCACAAGTGCTTTGGAGCACCTCTACCCCAAGCTTCACTAGTTCCAGTCCTACGACCATAACCGTCAAGCCCACGGCACCCACAGCCACTCTACCACTGATGACCACATCTACCAGGGCCTCCACACAGGCCCCCAAATCGATCAGCACGTTCAGGACCTCCCCTGCCCCTCTCCCACACCCTACGTCCACTTTACACACAAAATCCACATTACCGATTGCCACCACCATCACAGAAACAGGGAGCCCTGAGGCACTTAACTCTGAGTCCCCTCACAGCACTCCACTCATGACATGGACCTCTCAGGCTTCATACACCTCTTCTGCCTCCACCACGGCTCACCCGTCCCTGCACCTCACAGCTACACCCCTCAAGACCACCAGCTCATTTCCAACTCCTACCACTCCCAACACCTCCCTTTCCCCGCTGGTTACCACACTGTCCACTGGCTCTCTCACGCCATCTTCTCAGAGCATCCCCAGCCCATCCAGCCCTGAGGTTCTCTGGAGCACGTCCTCTCCGGGGTCAACGGGCTCCAGTCTTTTAACCACAACAGTCAAGGCCTCTGGACCGACAAGCACGGCACCACTGACAACCACATCTACCAGGGCCACTACACGAGCCAACACCTCCGTCACCACTTCCAGAACCTCCACTGCAACTCTCTCCTTCCCATCAACCATTACTTACTTGAAAAGCACTTTACCTCTAGCCACCACCATCAAGCAAACCATGAGCGCGATGGCACTCACCTCCGGGACCCTTCTTACCACGCAACAAATCCCATCCACCTCTCACCCCTTGTACACCACGTCGGCCTCCACCACGGCCCGCCCTTCCATCCAGCTCACGGGAACGTCCCTCAAGACCAGCAGCACATTCCCAACGCCTAGTGGGCCCCTGACCTCACCTACTTCTCTGGTTTCCACACTCTCCACCCTCTCTCTCACACCAACTTCTCAGACCCTCAACGCACAATCCACTACAGAGGTCCCCTCTGAGAGCCACCACCCAAGTTCAATGACCACCACTCTCTCCACCACAGTGGTCAGGGCCACTGGACCCACCTACACCTCTCCCCTGATCACTACGTCTACCAGTGCCCCCCACAGGTCCTTCGTCACTTCCACAACCTCCACTGCCTCCCTGTCACACCTTTCCTCCTCCCCACATCCCAAACCCACATCACCCCTGTCCACCAACATCACACCCACACCCACCAATACACAAACGGGGACCCCGGTGGCCCACACCTCCTCTGCCACTCACACCAGTACACAAACCTCACGGACCTCTCCGTCTTCAAACACCGCGTCTGCCTCCAACACTGCCCACCCTTCCGTTCCCCTCCCAGGAACATCCGTCCAGATCACCAGCACATATCCACCTCCACCCGGTCCCCAGACCTCACTTACCTCTCGAGCTTCCACATTGTCCACCCCTTCTCTCACACCAACTCCTCAGAGCCTCAGCAGCCCATCCAGCCCACAAGTGCTTTGGAGCACCTCTACCCCAAGCTTCACTAGTTCCAGTCCTACGACCATAACCGTCAAGCCCACGGCACCCACAGCCACTCTACCACTGATGACCACATCTACCAGGGCCTCCACACAGGCCCCCAAATCGATCAGCACATTCAGGACCTCCCCTGCCCCTCTCCCACACCCTACGTCCACTTTACACACAAAATCCACATTACCGATTGCCACCACCATCACAGAAACAGGGAGCCCTGAGGCACTTAACTCTGAGTCCCCTCACAGCACTCCACTCATGCCATGGACCTCTCAGGCTTCATACACCTCTTCTGCCTCCACCACGGCTCACCCGTCCCTGCACCTCACAGCTACACCCCTCAAGACCACCAGCTCATTTCCAACTCCTACCACTCCCAACACCTCCCTTTCCCCGCTGGTTACCACACTGTCCACTGGCTCTCTCACGCCATCTTCTCAGAGCATCCCCAGCCCATCCAGCCCTGAGGTTCTCTGGAGCACGTCCTCTCCGGGGTCAACGGGCTCCAGTCTTTTAACCACAACAGTCAAGGCCTCTGGACCGACAAGCACGGCACCACTGACAACCACATCTACCAGGGCCACTACACGAGCCAACACCTCCGTCACCACTTCCAGAACCTCCACTGCAACTCTCTCCTTCCCATCAACCATTACTTACTTGAAAAGCACTTTACCTCTAGCCACCACCATCAAGCAAACCATGAGCGCGATGGCACTCACCTCCGGGACCCTTCTTACCACGCAACAAATCCCATCCACCTCTCACCCCTTGTACACCACGTCGGCCTCCACCACGGCCCGCCCTTCCATCCAGCTCACGGGAACGTCCCTCAAGACCAGCAGCACATTCCCAACGCCTAGTGGGCCCCTGACCTCACCTACTTCTCTGGTTTCCACACTCTCCACCCTCTCTCTCACACCAACTTCTCAGACCCTCAACGCACAATCCACTACAGAGGTCCCCTCTGAGAGCCACCACCCAAGTTCAATGACCACCACTCTTTCCACCACAGTGGTCAGGGCCACTGGACCCACCTACACCTCTCCCCTGATCACTACGTCTACCAGTGCCCCCCACAGGTCCTTCGTCACTTCCACAACCTCCACTGCCTCCGTGTCGTACCTCCCTTCCTCCCCATATCACAAACCCACCTCACCCCTGTCCACCAACATCACACCCACAACCACCAATACACAAACGGGGACCCCGGTGGCCCACACCTCCTCTGCCACTCACACCAGTACACAAACCTCACGGACCTCTCAGTCTTCAAACACCGCGTCTGCCTCCAACACAGCCCACCCTTCCGTTCCCCTCCCAGGAACATCCGTCCAGATCACCAGCGCATATCCACCTCCACCCAGTCCCCAGACCTCACTTACCTCTCGGGCTTCCACATTGTCCACCCCTTCTCTCACACCAACTCCTCAGAGCCTCAGCAGCCCATCCAGCCCACAAGTGCTTTGGAGCACCTCTACCCCAAGCTTCATTAGTTCCAGTCCTACAACCATAACCGTCAAGCCCACGGCACCCACAGCCACTCTACCACTGATGACCACATCTACCAGGGCCCCCAGCTTGATCAGCACTTTTAGGACCTCCCGTGCCCCTCTCCCACACCCTACGTCCACTCCACACTCAAAATCCACATTACCTATTGCCACCACCATCACACAAACAGAGAGCTCCAAGGCACTTACCTCCGTGTACCCTCCCAGCACTCCACACATGCCATGGACCTCTCAGGCTTCATACACCTCTTCTGCCTCCACCACGGCTCACCCGTCCCTGCACCTCACAGCTACGCCCCTCAAGACTACCAGACCATCCAGCCCAGAAGTGCTCAGTGGTACCTCCACCCCAAGGCCTATGGGCTCCAGTCTTTCCACCACAACCATCAAGGCCACCAGAACCACAAGCACTACACTACTGATGACCACTTCTACCAGGTCCTCCACAGGAGCCAATACCTCGATCAACACTTCCAGATCCTCCGCTGCCCCCCTGTCCTTCCCACTGTCCTCTCCTTACCCGAAACCCACATTATCTCTGACCACCACCATCAAACAAACCGGCAGCCCCGTGGCACTTACCTCATTGGCCCTTCCCAGCACTCAACAAACCCCACTGACCTCTCACTCCTTGTACAGCACGTCGGCCTCCACCACGGCCCGCCCTTCCATCCACCTCACAAGAACGTCCCTCAAGACCAGCAGTGCATTTCCAACTCCCACTGGGCCCCAGACCTCACCTACCTCTCTGATTTCCACACTGTCCACCAGCCCTCTCACATCAACTTCTCACTGGACCACCAGCCCTGAACTGTTATGGAGCACTTCCTCCCCAAGGTTAATGGGCTCCAGTCTTTCAACTACAGCCTTCCAGTCCACTGGACCCACAAGCAGTGCAGCGCAGATGACCACGTCTTCCAGGGCCTCCACACAAGCCCACAGCTCCGTCATCACTCTTAGAACCTCTGCTTCCTCCCTGTCACACCTTTCCTCCTCGCCATACGTGGAATCCACATCACCCCTGTCCACGAGCATCATCACCACACCCACCAACAGACAAACTCCAAGTCCTATGGCCCACACCTCCTCTGCCACTCACACCAGTACACACACCTTATGGACCTCTCAGTCTCCATACACGGCATCTGCCTCCACCACTCTCCAGCATTCTGTGCCCCTCTCAGGAACGTCCCTCCAGACCACCAGTGCATATCCAACTTCAACTGGCCACAAGCCCTCAGTTACCTCTCTGGGTACCACGCTATCCACCATCTCTCTCAGACCCACTTCTCAGAGCCTCACCAGCCCGTCCAGCCCAGAGGTGTTATGGAGCACCTCCATCCCAAGGCCAATGGACACGAGTCTTTCAACCACAGCCGTGAAGGCTACTGGACCCAGAAGCACTTCACCACTGATGACCACGTCTACCTGGACCTCCACACAGGCCCACTGGTCTTTCCACACTGCCAGAACGTCGTCTTATTTACGGAGCTCTTCTTCTCCCTTGTCCTCCATTTCTACCTCCAGTTCTACTTTGTCCCCCGCAGCCTCGCCATCGGCACTCCGTAGTCTTTTCACCACGTCTGTTTCTGTAGAGACTACACATCCTTCCACACTTTTGCCCAAGGCCTCATCCACAACCTCCCGGCCAACTTCTTTTCAAACCTCTTCCTCTCCCATTTCCGCCTTGCTGTCACCGAGATCTCCTCTTACCACATCGTCCACCTCAGTCCCTTCAACCTCCCCCACTGCTCCCCCACTGTATGCACCTACCAGCAGCTCCATCCCTCCTGCTCCGTTTCCCACTGCGTCTACGACTGGGTCCCATTTCCCTTCTCCTTCTGCCTCTCTCCTCCCCACCCCAACCTCCAGTCCTGTTAACACTTCCCTTTTACCTCTTTTAAACTCCTCTTCCCCTGACTCTGCTCTTCCCACCCTGCCAGCTGTCCACACATCTGCCACCCCAGATCAGGTGCCAAACCCCAGCCCAGGCTTCCCTTCCACGTCCAGGATTACACCCAGTGCCTCCCCTTCCTCTGCCTTCTCACAGTCCACCACCTCCCAGCTTACTTCTCTTACCACCCAAGCCTCCATGCCAGGCCTTGTGTCTTCGACCTTGAGGATGACAAGCTCAACAGTTTCCCCTACTACCAACCTTACCAGCAGTCCTCCTGGTACCTCCAGGCTGCTGACGTCCATGCTCCTGTCCAGCTACATCACCTCGCACGGAAGCTCCTCTACCTTCCCCCCAGCAACCCCCTCCAGGGTGGCCCCCTCAGTCTCCTCTGATGGTAAGCAGCATCTCTGTGGCCCCCATTGGCTCAGGGCTGCATTCCAGGCCTGCCTCTTCTCCCAACTGCACTGTGCTGCCCCTCAGGCCTACTGCCTTCCCTCGTCCCGCCATTCCTCCATGCTGCCCACAGCCCCGGTGCCTGTCCCAAGCCCCATTCTTTTCTCCTCTCCTGAGCAGCCCCTGTGCTCACGCCAGTCTGGATGAAACTGGTGCTTCCTTGCCCATGTCTCCTACCAGCATCAGAGGCATTTTTCACACCCCAGGCCTCTGCTGCATGTCCCTCTGCAGTCTTGACCTCTCTTTTCAGGCTGACATATCTCCCCAAGCAGCCTTCCACAGCTGACTCTTGGGAAGCTCAGAGGGTGTGAGATAGCAGGGGTCCCTGAGCTCAAGGAACATGACCTCCTTGAGTTAGAGAGGAAAGCAAAGTCCACTGCAAGTATGCACCTCCCTGACCTGCGGGAGGCTGAGTGGGCCTGGAGACAGGGCTGCCGTTTAATGGAGGCACTCTCTGTAAGCTGCTGCTTCCAGCTGCCCTCCTGCCCAGGAAGTGCCAGGGTTCCCTGCAGAGCAAGCACGGGCCGGGCCCTGCCGTGCAGCAAGAGCTATCCACGTCCACCTTGTGTTCTGGGTATGCCCTTCCTCCCCTGGAAGTATTCCCCTGTTGAACATGTTCTTGGAGCCAGGCTGCCCTGGCCCGTTGTCCCCCAGCAGTTCCTTCTCGCCAACTCTGAGCTTCACATTCTGCTGTGCATGAGGGCTTCTCACCCTGTGAGACAAGGACGTGGGCACAGGCTCTTTCCTGTGGAAGTAGCATCAGGAAGCAGAACAGAGGAACAGGAGTAGGCCGCTGGGGCTCAGCAAACTGGGCCGTGAGCCCCTCCTTCCTCAGCTGGTGCAGGAGAAGCTGGGTGTGGTGGGTGACAGGACCAATTTGGTGGAGGTGAGGGAGAGAAACACGGGGCAGGACATCCAGTCTGCCAGAAACTTTTTTTTTTTTAATGTGTTGTAATGCCTGTCCCCTATACCAGCGCACCCTGGGCTGTGCTGCAGCGTCACCACCATCTGACCAGGTGTCCTGGTCCTCACACCACACCCCTCCTAGAAACCCAGACCAAGGGGCCTGCTCTGCTTCCCCTCCCCCAGTCCTGGTGTGGGGAGTCCCCTTTTGGAGACAGTGAAACACTCTCCTTGGCCCTCAGCAGGTCCTGAGACACCTAGGGCCACAGGCCCTGTCTGGGGCATAGGAAGGGAGGTGGCGAGACCTGGGTCTGACTGAGGTCCCTCTGGGGCCCAGCTCACTGCCAGGTCCTTCAGAAAAGCCAGGAAGGAGAGGCTGCCAGCCTTTGGCCCCATGCAGAGCCTGGTCTGAGCTGCGGGGGCCACAGTGGGGCCTCTACGTCTTCAGGCTTCTCCAAAATCAGTCTGCTCATGCAGCTGTGCTCTCGGCTCAGTGGCCCTGCTCTGGTGTGAGCATTCACCTCACTGTGCACTTAACTCTTGCCTCTTGGCCCCCAGGAGCCTGCAGTGTGCAGGAACATGAACAGGAAATCACCTACCAGGGGTGCACCGCAAACGTGACCCTGACCCGCTGCGAGGGTGCTTGTGCCTCTTCCGTCAGGTGAGCCCCTGGGAGTCAACCTTCCTGGCTGGGTCAAGACCCACAGCAAGTTGCCAGGCTGCCGGGTCCTCGCAGTGCTGCCTTGTCCCAGTCCACGGGGTCCAGGTAGCCTGCTCCATGCCCAAAGTCGAACTTGCCTTGTGCCTGTGAGCAGGAGTCAGCAGGAAAGGGAAGGCTCTTAAAGGTCTGGCCTGCAAACGGCTTGGGGTCCTGCTGCTCCTCAGGGGAGAGGTGCTGCCCTGACCCTCTGCTTGTCTGCTTCTTGGCAGCTTCAACATCACCACCCAGCAGGTGGATGCTCAGTGTAGCTGCTGCTACCCGCTCAACTCCTACAGGAAACAGCTCCTACTGCCCTGTGCAGACCCCAGCGCACCAGGCCAGCAGCTCAAGGTCACCTTGCAGGTGTTCAGCAGCTGTGTGTGCCAACTCTCGCACTGCAGAGACTAGAGGAGCTGCCTGGTCTCCCACGCACACAAGGTCGCAGGCCAAGAACAAGACAGCTGCCACCACACTCCTCCTCTGGATTTGTCCAGCAGCCTCTTTCCTGGACATAGATCTGAACTCCACGAGCCCTCGGAGGTGGCTCACCTGAGGCCACTGCAGGGAAGAAGCTGCTGGGAAGGAGCCCTGACCATCCACCTCCTGCTGACCCAACCCAGAGTGTGGGTGTGACATGGGCACGTGCTGATGGCAGCGTCTGCCACGCACACTGCCTCCCAGCCTTTGGTTGCAGAATCTTGCAGAGAAAACAACCCAGAAGCAGATGCCAGGGAGGAGGCTGCTCCAGCAGGGCTGCTGGGGGGACATGTGGGCTGATCAGAATGGGGACATGGCGGGTGTGGGTACCTGGACAGGGACAAGGAGGACGAAAGGCCAGGTAAGCACGAAATCCAGCAGAGAGGGGTATCCCCAGTCAGGGTGACAGGCAGGTGCAACACAGTGGCACCCAGCTGTGCAAGATGGCTGCCGCCAGAACCCACATCCTCACAGGAGGCTGTCACCCACCACCGAGTTGATTCCAAATAAACTGGATCTTGTCCAGGCAGAGGCTGATCCATGAGCGCCACTGTGCCATCCCCAACTCCCTCAGGCCTCTCTCCCTGGGTGAACCTACACGGTGGGCACAGGACCGGGGCTCGGTGGGGCTGCCGCCAGGTGGGGCTTGGAGAGGAAGGGCCACCACCACTGGCCGAGCCCCCACCCAAAACTCTGTGCAAGCCCCTGGCGAGGCTACCACCCTCTGGGTCCCTCTAGCACCATCCCTGCCAGGCTATAGGATCCCTGGCAGGGGCAACCTCACCCCACAGGCAGCTCAGCAGGAAGGAAGCCTTGGGCCCATCCCTCCTGTGCACTTAGACCAGAGGCCTCCAAGGCCAGGACCTCCAAGGAGCCACAGCCCAGCATCCACTGAAGCAGGGAGCCTAGGCAGACCTGGCCATACCCAGAGTCATGCCATCAGAGCAAAGGTGCTTTGTGGTGTTGTGAGGTACTGTCCAGCACTGCCCAGGCCCAGAGAGACTGTCCTAAAGCTGAAGGACAGGTTGCACAGGCAGATGGTACTCCAGGTCCTTGGTGCCAACACCCACAATGCCCACAGGACACTGCCCAAAAGACAACACACGCATCCAACTGTACTAGCATTTATTTTTCTTTGAAAAGGAGCACAATGCACAGATGGACACCCCTGGGACAGCACAGAGGGCAGGCCTGTGCCTCAGTAGCCCTTCCTATGCCAGGGAGACTTGTTGCCCAGAGACCACTACCTGGCTGCCCATGCACAGGAGCCATGGTCATGGGCCCTGCTGTCCACATGCAGTGTGTGGACTGCACATCAAGGACAGTCACTCTGTCCAGCAGCTGGAATAAGAGGATGCAGAGGCTCGCCCTGGCCAGCCAGGCCATCGCCTGCAGCAAAGCCCATCTGAGGCCGGGGCATATCTCGGGCAGACCAGGAGCTTTGGGGCGCACACACACCAAGACCAGCACAGGAGGAGCTGGTACTCTGAAGGCCACCCTGCAGCTGTCCCTAAGACCCAGGATGGCAGGATGATGGCCAGAAACTGAGGCAAAGGGCCACTGCCACGTCCAGTGTCTGGACATCAAGGGAGTGACAGTGGGTCCTGCCTTACCTGTGTCTCCTCAGGTGCTATGGGCTCAAGTGTGCTCAGACAAACCTGCCTGTCCCCTGTGTGCTGACCCTAGGAGCCATCGCAGGGCACACCTGCCTGGGCTCCCCAGGCCTCTCTGCCCCATCCACATCCTACCTTGCAAGCATGTGCAGGGACACCTGTGAGGGCTGGGGACATGTGGCCAGCAGACCTGGCGCGCCCTCAGCACAGCAACATCCAGGGCCCTTGTCCTCCCCAGTTTAATCTCCTCCACCCCCACATCCAGCAAGGACTGGACAGGTGCAGTCTATAGCGCTCGGCCTCAACTGAGGCCCTAGGAATGCGCACTTGACAGGTGAAGGCCACCAGCAGGAAGGACAGGCACACCCTGCAGAGTCTTACAAGATGAGCCATGGTCACACCCTGCAGAGCCATCAGGATCCCTCCACCCACCAAGTGCAAATCTAAGGTGTCAGACAGAACACATCACAGAAGTCCCTTCAAGAACACCGGTGCTGTGGACAGGGCTGGCTGAGGAGAGCAGGTGCCTGGTTTGGCCAATAGTCATCAAAACAGACGCTTCCAGCTCCTGAATTACAACCCCGCCCAGGAATCGTCTGGCAGTGCCTCAGCAAGCCCCGAGCAAACACTGCCCAGCCTGCAGGGTTAGCCACACTCCTCTCGCAGAGTGGGTCACGCCAGCACTGCCAGGTAGTCCCAGGGTAGGCCTGTAAGCACAGCAGTGCTGCTGCTCCAAAATCTGAGAAGGGTCTGCAACAGAACAGCGGCACTCAGACAAAACCTCAACACAATCCCCACTTCCACTCAAACTTCTTATTTCCCTTTAATTTGTAGGCTGAACCACAGGGCTGTCTTGATTCCCAGGGCCCGAGGCCCTCCTGCTGGGGCAGGCCCATTGCAGTCCTCCTCCAACAGTGCCCGCTGTCCCGCGATGACCAGGGGCCGGGCCTGGAGGCACCCTGTGCTGTGATGTTCAGACATGGGGTTTTGTTTGCATATGGTGACGAAGACAAATGGCAGAGACGAGGAGAGACGCACAGATACGAGCCAGACCTTCTGCCCGTGGATTAAAACTGCTCTGACAGCAGCTCACACAGCCTCTGTGAGACGGTGTCTTTGCTGGTGCGCAGCGTGAGCCGGTACATCTGAAACAGAGACAGAGGTCAGCGGCACACCGAAGCCCCGTGCAGCTCCTTGAGGCAGCAGACACAGGCTCTGCAACAGACAGCAGCCACGCAGCCCGAGGGCAGCCAGCAGCTCCTCTCAGTGGGCCTCCACCTCCCAAGGGCAGCTGCTCTCCAGGGATCACCCATGAAGTGACAACAGGTGCCCCCGGCAGAACTGGACACAGAGACTGGGGCCCCTCGGCCAGAAGGACACTGCTCAGGACTAAGAGGAAGCACCACTGATTGAACTGCAACACGGAACTTGCATGGGGTCCCACATGCCAGGGCCCATGGAGAGGCGGGAAGCCTATGCACACTGACGGGCGCAGGCACACAAGGTCTCCACTCGCCCCCATGGGAGTCCTGACCTGGGCTTGCAGATTGGGCTCCAAGCGCAGCAGGCACCCAATCTGGGTGGTTCTGGTATGTATGATGCCAGCACCCACAAAATTCGCAGGATTGGGATCGACTTCCTCGAGGAGTGCAGAACCAAATCCAATGATCTGTCCAAAAGGAGGAAGGAGTCAGGAAAGGCACTGGCCATGGTGTCTGCCTTGGGGACACCACCACAGCCTTTTACCTTTGCTTTCGTGATTTCTGTGTCCATCGGATGCTTTGCTTTGAAAATGTTCTGCACCTCTTGTTGTGGGCTGAGGAAGGGCACGGAGGGCTGTCAGAGCTGGCAGACACACGGGAGGCTAACAGGCCACCCACTGAATGACCCCTGATCCTCTCCCCACCCCCAAGCACAGCCCTCTCACTTGCTCAACTGCTTCCAACGTTGAAAGAAATCCTGAGAAGCCATTTCTGTGGGCTGGAAAAATTTGTTGAGCGTGATGGGTAGCTTGACAGACACATTCTGGAAGGTGCCACCATACCTATGGGCAGACGTGTTGACAAGAGGGAAGGGACGGGGTTCCTGGCTGCACAGCCTTAGGGCTTGGGAAGCCACCCAGGCCACCCCAGCAGCAGGGTGGACAGTGCTCCTGCAGGAGCCAAGCCAACCCTCCATACACCTGCTGAGGCAGCTGGCACAAGTGAGGCCAGGGCCACACGCACTGCCTGGAGCAGAGTTGGGAGGACCGGCCCTTCTCAGGGCTGGCAGGACAGCCTCCAGCACTCACCCTTGCCTCTCATCTGCCTCCAGAGCACCAGTGTCTGTGGTCAGGGTGGGATATCTCCCCACAGAAAGACTGAAGAGAAGCATTTGCGTAAGTACTGTTTCTAGAATTTGAAAACGTGCTTCTCCAAACACACTGGCCTCGGGCCTACAGGGAACCCACAATCACAGGTACTCCACAGTAGTACCTGCAAGAGGCTGGGTCTGCATACAGCTGCACAAGAAGCCCTGCCTGGGTCTGGAGAGCCACCAGCATCTCCTCTGCAGCTGTCTTTCCCAGCTGTCAGCTACTGCAGACTGGCCCTGCCTCCCCTTGGGCCACAGAGCAGCACTCGGGACTTCAGGGCATTGTGGTACATGGTGCACTCAACGGCTAGCTTCCTATACTCTGGAAAGCTCAGGTGACTGGGTGTCCCCCGTGGTGGGGGGGTGCTCCCAGGCACATGGGCAGGTGCCCACGCTCACTCTTACCTGAACTGAATGTTGAGGACAGGTGCCTCTGTGAAGTCAGACACGCACTCTATGTTAACCACCTGCTGCACCTGTGCGCCTCCATCTACAGTCGGGTCCACAGGCTTGGTCTGCAGGTTCAGATGTGAGCAGGCAGGTTAAGGAGTTCAGACAGGTCTGGAAGAATGGGCCCCACTGGGCAAACCCCTGATCCCTTACCCTTACAGGAAATAAAAAATTTCAAGGGATGATGGTGGGTGAGAGAGTAAGCAGCCTAAGGGCAGAACTCCATGTGTGGTGTTACCCACTTTTTCCTAGTAGTGACCACAGCACTGCTGTGTGACTTGTGCAAATAGACGAATACAGATGATACTGATAAGATAACCGAGAGCCTAATCTCTAACCCTCAGCTATTTGAAAAGCATATGGCAGACAGGAAGTAGCGCATGCCCCACCACACTGCAGAGCTCAGGCCAGGACCATCACGAGACCTGCCCTTCTGCCTGCGACTGGACAGCGGGCCCAAGTGCCCAGGGCTGCTGCGCATCTGCCCACTCCCTTCTCTTGCAAGGCCACTGGAAAGGACCACTGACTGCTCTGCTCATCCTACCATGTGTTTCCGCTGCCCTCAGCCAAAGCCAGTGCCCATGGCTTAGTAAGGTGACTGTACCACCTGGGACAGCTCTGTGCAGTCAGCAAGCAGGTGCTACTGTGCTGCCAGCCCCTAGCGAAGCCACCCACACAACCCAGCTGGGTCTGGAGGCGGAACGAAGGCCTCTCCTTCCCTCTGGGACCCTGAGCCCACTGGCCACTTGGCTTCCAGGCTCAGGACCACCCCATGGCCCCTCAGAGCACAGCAGGCCCTAGGGAGGGACATGCAGGTGTGAGCCTTCACTCCTGATCTTGGACAAAGACTCAGTGCAGCAGACTCTGCGTCTGTGTGTTTAATATCTATTCTGGAACAGTTTCAGGAGTGTGTGTTATTATTATCTCTCTGAAAACACATGTAGATCTCAGGTGGAGAGGAGCTCAGTTCCACCCATCTGACCGGGTCCCCCAGGGAGGTGCCCCGTGCGCCCTGTTCAGACTGTAGACCTGTCCCTAAGTGGTGACTCCCCACACAGCCTGCTCTCGGTAGAAACAGGCCAGCTGCAGGCCTCGCAGGGCAAGGAGCAGCACTCAGTGGGGACTCACCAATGACTCCATAGGACAGAACAAGCCAGGAAAGGCAGCAGATGGGGGGCGGACAGGCGCACTGTCTGAGGCACACCAGAGGCCACCCTGCAGGGGCCACTGACCTGCCTACCTGGAAACACCTTGCTATCATGACCAAAAGCAAATTCCTCCAAGGTCCAGCTAAACCCTAGATGGCCACCTGTATGTCAGTGTCTGAGGCCCAGGTTGTACCGAGGATATTAGACTGCAGGTCATCTGCACAGATGAGAGTTGGAGTGAAGTTCAAGAACTGCGTGGAAGTCTTGTTACCATAAAATATGAACATCCGGCCTAGAAAACAAAAACATCTGAGTCGCACACTTGGTCTGCATATTTACAGTGAAAACCAAGGGCCCCTGTAAGCCCCGCTGAATCAAAGCTAACTGCCATGACAAAAGCTATTGCTAAAATTAACGTTTTCACTGATTTTAAAGGGCATGTAGCCAGGCACAGTGGCACAGGTTTGTACCCCCAGTGAGTGACTGGGAAGGCTGAGGCAAGAGGATCATAAGCTCAAGGCCAGCCCGGTGGGGGGGGAGGTGGGGGGGACCTCTGTCACTTAAGGAGACCCCATCTCAAAAAATTAAAAGGACTGTGGACGTGGCTCAGTAGTAAAACATCCCTGGGTTCAATTCTTGATACCAAGAAAGAAAACTAATGGCATGCCAAAGCCAGAAGCAGCACTGCTCTCCACCCCTCAGCAGCATGTCCGGGTCTTCTGACAGCTCCTGCACACCTGTGCAGGGAGGGCCCGGGGGGCCAGGCTGGGAGACACCACTCACACCAGCAGTGCTGCAGGGCCCTGTGCAGGGTCCCGGTCATGACAGCCCAGCAGCATTCAGACCCCGCTTAGCCCCTCTGGGAAGGCCTGGCTGGGCCTGGACCCACTGGATGGCCCAGAGCCAGTGCTGGCCATGTAGGGACTGTCCTTCAAACATGCACACTGAGCCTGCCCCACCACAGACCACCGTGCCAGTCAGTCAGCTGCTGCTCTGTGCCAACCAACTAGAGCACCAGCACCCTCACACAGGTCTCAGTGGGATTTCCACCCTTTCAGTTCAGAAAGGAATGTAAGCCCCAAAGGTTCTGAGAAGACAAGTGCTTTGCTGTCTGTGGGAGGCCAACTAGCACGTGACCGCATTTGTCTCCTCTTCTAGATTGGTGTGGCATCGTCTGTCACTCTGTGATCTGGTTGCCTAGGTAACCCAGACAGTAGCCCTGATCTTTAGGGCACAAGCGACTATGTCTTTGTGCATGGACATGCCTTCCTATATCCCCATGGGTGGAGCTATGCTCACCTGTTCCTTTGGTATTTTTTTGTTTTTTTTTTTTTAATTTTTTATTGTTGGTTGTTCAAAACATTACAAATTTCTTGATATATCGTACTTCACACTTTGATTCAAGTGGGTTATGAACTCCCATTTTTACCCCATATACAGATTGCAGAATTACAACACCTGTTCCTTTGTAATATTACCCCTTGCCCTGTTTGGGATAGAATGTTCCATGGAAACACCCTTTGTGTGTCCTCTTCTCTTACTCTGTCCTTGGGTGTGGCCTTCCTAGATATCAGTCAACTTGCTGACAACAGACATCATGAAACTAGACTCAGCCCTTTGAAACCTGACCCCTTGCCTCATATGAATGGCTTCTCCTCAGTAAAAGGGGTGAGCACGTGCACTCTCTCTCTGCTGACCCTTTAAGGTCAGAAAAGCCATCACAGCACCCCCAAAGAAAAAGGTATTTCTGTCTCGTGTGGTTATTTCGTGCAGCCCAGTTCCCCTGGAGTGACCCTGAGTGTTTTAGTCGAGTGCAATCCGGCAGGTATCACCCCTGCACAAACCAAAAAGTAAATCAAGGCCAGGCAAAGTCATCATAGCCAGAGGCTAGGACCTTGGTCACAGGAGCAGGAGGCCTGCTCACCACAGCACCTGCAGAGCCCTGCCCCGCCCCCACCAGGGCCAGCAGGAGAGGCGTGTTTTCCCTTCCTCCCTACACTCCTGCTCACGAGGCTCCCTGGGTGGGAGGTGGGACAGCACATCCCATAGGGGCCACTTCAGCAGCCCCATAGATTCGATGGGTACATTTTTTTCTTTTTAGACTCAAAACTTTTCTTTTTCCATATAAAAATTGGTAAGTGGGGGCTGGGGTTGTGGCTCAGTGGTAGAGCGCTCACCTAGCACGCGTGAGGCCCTGGGTTCAATCCTCAGCACCACATAAAAATAAATGAATAAAAAATAGGTATTATGTCCCAACTACAACAACAAAAAAAATATAATATTAAAAAATAAATTGGTAAGTGACTCAAAACCCACAATAAACCATTCAGTCAAGTTTACAGTGTGCAGTCCAGGGCACTGAGCATGCTCACACTGCTGTGCAGATGTCACCACCTCCACCCCCAGGGCTCTCTCTACTGGAATACTCCCAGACTGGAACCTGCCCATCAAACACTGTTCCCTGCCCTCCAGCCCCTGCCCTGCCCAGGCACCCCATGTGACTGGGATCATGCAGTGCGCTTCATGGTATGACTGGTGCTTCACTAAGCCTCGTGTCCACAGGGTTCCTCCACGTGCAGCAGGTGTCACACTGTCCTCTGTGCAAAGCTGAACAGTACCCCACAGTACACACCTTTCCACCACCCACCTTGAACACTCGGGCTATCTCCTCTGAGTTACTGTGAATGACGCGCAGCCACGAACATGTGTCCACGACACCTCTTTCTTCCGGACCCCGCTTTGACTCTTTGGGTCTATACCCAGAAGCAGGCTGCTGAATCATGCCCATGATCATCTCCACCTTGCTGAGGGGCAGCCCTGCTCTCATCCACAGCGGCCACCCCAGATTACACCTAGCAACTGCCCAAGGCTCCCTTCTCTCCACATGCTCTGCTGTGTGTGAGGTGGCGAGAGCTGCGGTTCCCCATGCTGTGGCTGGGTCTGCAGCCTGGTGGGGAGCGGCATGCATGCTGGGTGGCCCTGTGCTCCTTTCCTCTGGAGAAATGATTGCCCTGGTCATCTGCCGCCTCTAGACGGAGCTACCCCCAAGGGGGAGGTATGCAAAGGACCCCTGCATGTTCTGGACATGAGGTCCTCGTCAGGGCCACCTGTAGCACTTCTTGTTTCCCACGGTTTTCAAAGGGAGATTTTATTAAACATTGAAAACACGTACCTAAATTCTGCCGAAATTCAGACTTAAGTCCAATTTGAAGCAGCTGGTTTTCAAACAACACACCATTATTTTTACAAACAAACCTAGGAGAAAAGGAATAGTATGGTGTCACTCAAAGCCACTTACTGCAAGGGAACTTTTTTCAAAAAGGGCTTAAAGTCCACCAAGGCTTAGATAACTGGTGGGGACGGGAAGACAGCGTGGGGACCACTCCTAAGACCACTCACAGTGGCTGCCAGAGACGGAGAGCAGGCAGCAGCCATCATCTCCTTGTGTTCCAGGGAAGAGGGCACCACTGCCCGTACTCAGGGATGAGGCCTGGGGCAAGCTGGGGACTGGGCAGTGTGCAGAAGGCACAGCTACAGCCCCTCCAGGCTCACAGTGGCAGCCCACTGGGCAATCTCCTTGCCTACCCGCACCAACCCTGCACTCATCATCTTCCTGAATTCTGTAGCCACCTACCTGAGCCACTTGGGCAGATTCCTCACAGGCACTGGGTTGGCACACTGTGACCTAAGAGGGCTCTACCAGCTCTGCTCCAGGCCCTGTTTCCAGGAGCTGTCCAGGCAGCAGGCCCATGGACATCCCTCTGCAGACCCAGCTTCCTGAAGGCTCTTCCAAGTCCTTCAGGCCACAGCCTGACAGACTGCCCAGCTCTGGCCACCAAGAAGCGCCACAAAGTCAAATCGCCAATGGACAGGCAGGACAGTCTTCCAAAACACCAGAAAGTATGTGCTGAGCTCCTCACAACTGAGGCTGTCCCCATCAGAAGTGGGCTCACAGCCTGGGGCTCCGAGCACAGGCACCATGGGGCTGCCCCACCGCAACTCAGCCATAGAAGGGCCCATGCCAATAAGGGGCCATGGGGGTCACACTTGATTTGGACTAAGATACCTTAAATTGAAATCTGTCGGGGATACAGAAAGGGTATCCATCTACTATCCCCAGCATACCACAGATGTTTATGTGGTTGGTAGTTCTCTAAAGGGCCAATCTCAACTGCACCTGATCCCTGAGGAACGTGCAATGAACAAAGGCCACGCCAGGAGGCCACAGCCTCCCTGCACTGACTGTGCCCCAGTGACCCAGCCCTGTGAGAGCCAGAGCACAAATCCTCCACGCTGCCCCAGACACACACCACATGACGACCCTCTGTCAATGTCCAAGCCAGAACCAACACCCTGGAGCCCAAGGAAACGGGGCCTAGCCACCAGAGGAAGCATGCACACAAGGCCAGACCAGCAGGGCAGCGGGAGGTAAGAACAAGGGTACATGGACCTGGAGTGCAGCCTCAAAGGGACAGTGGGCACCAGAGGCACAGACAGGACCCTCAAGGCCCTCCCCTCTTCCACCACTCCATCTCCAACAGGACACCAGGGAGAGCTGCACCCAGTTGCTCAGAGGGTCACAATTTAGAAATGTCCTGAGTCCCACAGAGCAGCAAAATAGGCCTTTGGCCCAGTCCCTGGCAAGTGCTCATAGCCTTGTGAGGTGACAATACAACAAGTCTGGGGTGGCTCGCTAGATGGAGCCACTGCCCTCAGAGGATGTCCAGATTATGAGCCCTGCTCCAGGACATCCAGCTCCTGTGGCCACAAGCACCTTGGAGCCTGGGTCCACTGGGCGCTCTCGAATTGAGACTGGCACTCTGTGAATGAGGAGAAGTCTGCTTAGGCCTTCTCTAAGGAACGAGAATCAGTATGCAGGATGACCACAGAAACCGCAACACATGCAACACCACAAAATTTTAAAAGTTGACTGTCCAAAGCTAAAGTGGGGGAAATTTTGGACTCAACGTTTCGATTATAAGGAACTAAGAAATTTTTCTAGACTTCAAGATTACAAGCCAACAGTGTTGTGATATTGACAAAATAAAACACTTAAATAATAAACGGGAGGATGGGCTGGGGTTGTGGCTCAGTGGTAAAGTGCTTGCCTAGCACATTTGACGTACTAGGTTCACTACTCAGCACCACATAAAAATCAAAAACAAAGTTAAAAAAATAATAATAATAATAATAATAAATGGGAGGAAAGCCCACAGAACTTCTACTACCATCTTCAAAATGGGGGGACAAAGAACCATTGCATTAAGGTTTTCTAATCTGTACCCAGGACATGCTGCAGGGTGGAAGTGAGGGCCCATCATGTCCACAGATCTAGACACAAGCAGGCCTGGCACAGTGGTGCAGCCTAAATCCCAGCACCTCAGGAGGCTGAGGCAGGAGGATCGCCAGTTCCAGTCCACCCAGGGCAAGTTAGCAAGAACTGTTTCAAAAAACAAAAAGGGCTGGGGACGTGGCACAGTGGTAGAGCGCTTTCCCAGCACGTGCGAGGCCTAGGTTCAACCCCAGTACTTCAAAAAAAAGGAAAGGAAGGATGGAAGTGAGATGACTAGGGATATGGCAGTGGCAAAGCACCTCTGGGTTCAATCCCCGGTACCAATTAATAAGTAAATTTCGATTATAAGGAACTTAATCAATCAATCAATAAAAGCAGATTCAGTCCTAAGATGGAAGAAAGAGAGCAAGTGCTGGGAAGAACAGTCTGATATCCACATTTTGAAAATGGGGGAAGACAGGGAACAAAGGCCGGAGCCAACACGCACTGCAGCAGGGTCAGGAGGCCCCAAACACCTGCAGAGCTGCAGGAAGAACTCACTCCTCCAGGCCAGGCCAGGCAGGGTGCGGGCAGAGCGCAGGCAGGCCACCACTAACTCAAAAGTGAATGAGTCCTTAAAAAGAAATGGCAGTTATCCACAAGGCTGACAAGGAACAGTGACAGGTTAGAGAGCAGGGTGCAGCGGAGAGCAGCAGCCAGAGTGTGTACTAAATGCCCAGAAGCACCAGACCTGCAGCTCCGCTGCCCACCCTGGGACGCAGACCTGCTGACCTTGTAGCAGGCACAGCACCAGCAGGGGTGCCGGGGGACTGAACACAGAAAGTGGCTTACACCTCTCTCCCAAGTAGCAACCAGGTGGTCATGCTGCCTGCTGCCCAGCCGACCCTGTCTATACTTCCCATATTTGGTGCAGGAACCTGGCTACCTGGCAAAGTTGTCTTCAGAGCCGGGAGCAAGAGGTGCCACCGAGGAAGCCGAGTCTGAGAACACATCCACCAGCAGCCCGCCAGAGGAGGGCGGTGGCGCCGCAGGGGCAGGGGGGGTGGCCCCCAGGCCCAGGAGGTCTGCCGACGGAGAAGGCGTGGACTGGAAAAGGAGGAGGGACAGCATCAGCACCAGAACTGGGCACGGCAGTGTGGACGCTCAAGTCCCCCAACCCACATCCACCCAGGCCAGACAGGCTGCCCTTTCTGAGTAGGCACACAGGGCCAGGTGGGGCAGCAACAAGAGGCTACACTCTACACAGCAAAGGAACGGCCAGCATTTCTCCACAAATGCCACTGGAATGAAGAGAAGTCCTGAAAACATTTCTGCCATCAGACGGCAAGTTTTAGAAGACAAAAAAAAAAAAAAAAAAATCAGCAAGCCACTTGCTACAAGGCATTCCTGGCTTATTTGTCAAATCTTATTCAGTTGACGGGAAAGGCAGATTAAAAATTGTACAAACAGCAGGACGCTGAGGCACTGCAGGTTTGAGGCCAGCCTAGGACACTTGGTGACACATGACTTAAAATTACAGGGGGTGAGATGTGGCTCAGCAATGGAATGCCCTGGCTCAGCCTTGGCACCATACACAGCATGGCCTGCAGACAAACACATGGCTTTGATCCTCAGAAAACTATTATATCCCTTGGTGTGATGGGGGCCAGAGAAGGGATCCCTATATCACCCGGTGTGACGAGGGCCATAGAAGTGACCACTACATGATCTGCTATGAGGAGGGCCACAGAAGTGAGTGCTACTTCACCAGGAGGCATAGCTCCACGCACCTGCACTTGCTCTTCAAGACACGCAGCTGGCTCACCTCGGCTCTGATTCTATGTGGGCCTGGGCCCAGCTGCAGAATTAAGCCAACCACACAACTGAGTGCCTGGGTGCTTCCAGCAGAGCTCTTCAGGGCCACTCAGGCCTAGGATCTGATGGTCACATGACTGCAGATGCTACTGACTGCATGAACTAAGGCTAGAGATGTGGATGCCTGCACGAAGACACCCCCCCCAGTGGCTGGTCCAAGTCCCACTGGACAGCCATGAAGACTAAACCGGGTTACAGTGTTCCAAGAACTAGGTCCTAAGGCTACCCAACATACTCACTCAGTCTGCACTGGTTTTCCCCAGAACTAGCCAAAAGGCTGTCATTCCCCATGTGGAAGCCCTGGCACGTGGGGCCAGGCCTATAGGCCTGCCATCTGGCCTTCAGCAGAGCCATACCAGGCACAAAGGACCTTGCGGCCCCTTCACACCAAGCTGGGGTGTTAAATGTGTTTAACTGCGTGTGCAGATACATGGCTTTATGCATGGACATGACTCCAAGATGAAAGAAGAACAGAACATCAGCTGGTGAGATGGGTGTGGGTGTCAGAGGCCCACGCTGGGCCAGGCAAGCCCAGTGGTCTGTCTCTGCAGGATGCAGGTACCAGATGCAATGTGCTCCTTCCTCAAGGGCCACTGACTTGACCCAGAAGACCTGGGTCACACATGCCCCAGGGAGAAGAAAGAGGCCACAGAGGAGCAGGGAAGTCTGGCTGGACCCACTGCAGGTGGCTACTCCACCCCTCCGCCCAGCCCTGTGTCTTCAGGAGGCTGTATGCCAGAGGGCTATGGGTTACAGACAGGCACCCACAGGGTGAGCCCCTGCAGCTCTGCCAGCCAGTCAGCTCCTCACCACTGGCTCCTGAAAGGTGGTTCCAGTATGTCTGCTTTCTAAATGTCTCTTAAAACTGGGAAACCCCCCTTTGTCCTATTAAACAAGCACCCCAAGAGTTATGAGTGTAGGAGCAAGGCTGCTGTATCAGGAGGACCCAGCAAGCCACAGCCACACCCCTACCTCCCCCACCTGCTGGCCTCCAGGCCTTAGGGAGACCCTCCCAGGAGTGCTGCCAGCATCCAGACACCTGAGCTGCACCTATTCCCTCCAACAGCAATCACAGCAGGAACTGAAGCAAAGAGCACTTGTGCCCAGACTGGGGCCAGCACAGCCTCGGGGACACCTGGTCAGCAGGGTGGCCAGCCACAGCCAGGCAAATCTGCAGCCGCAGGTATGTCCTGGTGCCCTCCATGGGATCACAGGTGAGATTTTTGCAAAGATGTTCTGGCATTACCCATGACCTTAGTAAAAGACACTTTGGCCAACAGTGCCCCAGATGAAAAGTGCCACATGAAACCCAGACCTCCCAGTGCTGCTAGGCAAACCAGGTGTGCCCCTGCCCCCATCCTGCTCCTCCTTCCTCAACGCCCAGGGCCCACCAATAACCCACGTTAGGAGAAGGTCTGCCATTGCACCCCATCGTGGAGTTCAGGGTGCAGGCTGCAAGTCTCACCATTCCCACTTTCCCAACCATTCGCCTGCCAGTGCCTGTAAAGTCAGGAAGGGGCATGCAGCCCAGTCAGAAAACTGAATCAACCTTGAGGAGGCCTCCAGAGGGTGGGCCTTATCAAAAAGCCAAGCCTCAGGGAGCCCACACCTACCTTCCAAGGACAGCCTCGCTGCACCCAAGGCTCTGACCCCCTGAGCACATAGCCCAACCCCTCAGCCTGGGTCCCAGGCCCACCTCCCAGTCCACACACACCTGGCTGGGCATGTCATACCTCACTTATCAGGGCCAATGCATAAGAGAAAAACCAAGTAAATCCAAACAGAGACCAATGACAGCCTCATGGTAGCCACCAAGGCCCTTCTATGGCTGCGGATGCACCTTCTTCAGAGCTGCAGAGCCCATGTGGACACCCTAGAGGAACTCTGTGGGTCTCCTCGGAGGCTCTGTAGGACCTGGTCACTGGACACCTGCACCCACATCCTCCTCCAGACGTGGCCTCACCTTGCTAGGGCCAAAGCCTCTGCTCTGCAGGACATGGCTGCTGCCCTTTTGCCCTGGCCTGGACCCCATGGATGCCTGTGCTGGCACCATGTGAATAGCCCCATGTTAACAAGCCACTCTCACCACGTCACTCACAAGGAAGATATTTACTCTACTTCAGCTCACTACAGAAAACCTCCAAGAGCGGGGCCCGTCCTCAGCCTAGAAGCATGCAGACAGGCCACCATGGGAGGGCAAGGGACCAAGCCCCCAGGTCACCTGGAGGGAAGTGGGGAGCTGGCCTGCCGCCAAGAAGCCAGTCACACAGATACCTCCAGCAGGCAGACACCAGCCTCCGCAATAAGCCACCTGAGGGCCTGGGTGAAGAAGCACGCAGACCCCAAGCTGAGGGCCAACGCTGGGCTCTCAGTACACGTTAATAAAAATTCTCCCTGACATGCTCACACTCTGTGTATCCTGATCTCAGGTTGTGGGGCCCCGGGGGTCAGGCACAGTAGGCAAGGACCCACCGCGGCGCTGGTGCTGGCTGGGGCGGGCTCGGGGCCCCCATTCACATCCGCACTCCGTTCCCGCTTGGTCTCCTCCAGGTCGGTCACCGTGCTTGGGCCCTTCTTCTTCTTGAGCTTGGCCAGGATGGAGGACTCACGCTCTGGGAAGGGCGGCATCTCCTCCAGGACAGTTGCCTGGTTGAAAGAACACAAGTTTGGCTTGGCCCAGGGCCCTGGATGCCTAGCCCCAGTCCACCAGGCCACTGCGTACCAGGATGTCAGTGCTGGCAACAGTACTGAGGCGCAGGTACTCCACAGCTCGCTGTTGCAGCTCCACATCCGCATTCTTCAGCTGGCTGTCGCTGCGCAGCACGTCCTGGATGGTGGTCTTTACCTCCGGAAAGAGGTTCACGAACTTGATGTAGGTAGACAAGAGTAGCGCCCGGGTGGGGACACTGCACAGGTGGAACTTGGAGTGCAGCAGGTCGAACTGGATCAAGGGGCTGGTCAGGGCAAGGCAGGCTGTCAGCTTGCCAGCTCAGAGGCAAGCACAGCTGGGCGCTCATGCTAAGATAGAAGCCCCCAGGGAGGCTGCGTTTCTTGTGCCAGATCTGTCTGCAGGTACTTGAGGACACCAGCCACAGGACCACATAATCTGTACTTTTAACAGAGGCATGCTACTTGAATGACTTGGAGGGTGTTGGATCAATGTGAGGACAAGCATTTCCCATCAGGAGGACGAAGGGTGCAGGGCAACCCACGACAGAGCACATGCCAGCCGGCGCACAGATGTGTCTTACCTGGATCGAGGATCCCCAGCTATCAAGTTTCCAAACTCCCCCAGGATGTAGCCGCCTACTTTGACCAGATTCTCGTGGCATGCTGGAGCCTGCAGAGCCTACGAAACCATGAATGGGCTGAGCCAGGTACAGGAGCTGCAAGCCACAGCAGAACAGCCGGGGGCACCTGAGCCCAGGAGGAGAGGCTCGAAGGGACAGCAAGCTCAGGGCAGGGGGATCACAGGGTACAGCAAACAGGAGCAAAAAGGGCAAAAAACACCACCCACCGGGATTCACATGAGCGTGGGCACCAAAGCCCTACTCACCACCCTTGCCCACCACATGAACCCAGGCCGCACCTCGAACACCGTCTTGGCAGCATAGCCCTGTACGTCGTCCCGGTTGATGACAATCTGAATGACTCGGTACCAGACCTCCTCGCTCACGTAGTCTCCTGCGATGCGGATCAGGTTGAGGATGGTGTCCACGTACCAGGTGTAGTCCACTGCATACTTCTCAGCCAGGATGGCCACCTTCAGCACCTGCCAGGGGACCACCAAAGGACAAGCCATCATCCAAATCCGTAGAGGACCTAAAGTTGGGGTGTGTGGAAAGCCCTCACTGGTTCTCTAAGGAGGCCCAGGGTGTGGAGCCGCTACTCAGGCAAGAAAAGCCACCGACCCCCAGGGACAGGCAGCAGTAGCTGAGCCAGGCATGCAATGGGACACTATTACCAATAGCCTCATGCCACCTGCAAGATACCCCAGGTGAAATGGCACTGCACACCATCCTCAGGCCATGGCTCTTCCTCCTGCCGGCCTGCCCACCACATCCCCAGGTCTCCTCTTATTTGCCTGCCCTCTCTCCATGGGAGGATTGCCAATTCACCACCCCCAACCTAGCCCCGGCAAGCTCACACCATAGGGGCAGCCACCCAGTCTTCTTGCATGGAGCCCAAAGGGTACCAGCTGCCAACCCTGAGCCAGCCATCATGGTGACCAGATCCCTCAGGCCCCACCATCCCCAGCCTAGAGCTAAAACACCCATCCATCTGCTCTGCACACCCCCTCTCCCATCAGATTCCAAGACACTTCCAAAGCGTCAAAGCCCATGGCCTTCGAGCCAGCCCTTGCCCTCAGCTGTAGGCTGGGGGCCCTCACCACTTCCCACAGGACATCTTCCTGAGGCTACCAGGCCTGCCTCCAGCACCCACAGCACATGCAGACCACCGTCCTGCCCCCAACCTGCGAGCACGTGAGGGAGAACAGCCTGTGGGCTAGGTGGCCATAGCACCCGGACCCCCAGCAGCCAACAGGGCAACAGACGGGTGGGTCGTGAGTGAGTCCTGGTTCTGGGACTGAGACATGTGATGAAAGCAAGCCGACAGGACGATAGCTCCTCGTCTAACAGCCCATAAGCCAGCACTCAAACCCAGGGTGCGTGGTGCATACGTGATGTGCCAATGGGCACAGATCCCCCGACTGCCGCACCCCCTAGAGCAGAGTTAAGGAGGGCCTCTCCAGTGACCAGCCCCCAAGGCAGACACACCCCAACAAGCCCCACAACTCAGGCAAGAAACAGACACTGGCTGAAGTCGGCAGGCCACTTGCCTAGCCAGCCATGTCCCACATAGGTCCAAAGTGACCTTGAACTCTAAGCTGCAAAGCTGGAGTCAGAATACACCTTTCTAGGCGGGGGTTGTGCTCAGAAGTAGAGCGCTTACCTAGCACGCGTGAGGCACTGGGTTCAATCCTCAGCACCACATAAAAATAAGATAAAGACATTGTGTCCAAAAAAAAAACATTAAAAAAAAAAAAACACACCTTTCTATTGTACGTCAATTAGCTCAGGTGCTTCAGAGAGCTGAGCAACACCCTGCCTATCCTCAGGCATGGAGAAGCCAGTGCCACCCCTGGGTTAGGAGCAGAGCAGTCAGGGCAGCCATGGGGCTCCAAGGTCCCCTCCCTCAGACCTGCTCTGTGACAGAAGCAGGGGCCTGCTGGGCGGCAGCAGCCTGTCAGGAATGTGCCTGCTGCAAGGCGACTGACAGGACTCACGAAGGGAGCCACTGCTCAGGCTGAGTTCAGCTAGAGATGCTGAGGACCAGGGAACCGGCCATGCGTCAGCTGCAGCTCAAAGGCAGCACTGCCGAGAGCTCTGCCCACAGGCTGGGAAATGCTGGCCGTGACGCACACCACGGAGGCCTCGTTCAGACCTGCCACACGGATGCCGCACTGAAGGACAGAGGTCCTGAGAAAGCCTGCTGCTGGGCAGATGTGAGGCATCTCCTTGCTGACTGGAAGGCCAGCACCAAGGGATCCTCTGTCGAGCGTCCTACAGAGCCCCAACCAAGCCTGCTGGACAGCCACAAGCCACCAAGGAACAGTCCAGAGGTGGGCAAGCCTGGGCTGAGGACTCACAATCTCCTCTCGGATGGAGTAGTCGGCTGTCTCCAGGTAGCTTAGCATCTCGGCCACAATCTGCTGGGCATTGCTGCGGTCACACATGGCGTAGAGCAGGTCCACCGCTCGCTGCCGCACACTCACGTCCCGCTCTGTCTGCAGGGGAAGGAGGGCAATCAAGAGACTGCCCCTGCAAACCACAGGCTGGTGGACAGTCAATGTCCCCTGAAGTGTGTGGCCCAGGGGTCCTGCATCTACATCCTGAGGGAGCCACCCAGGGCTCCCCATGGTTCTGCCCTCATCAGGCAGTCACTGCACCCACCTCCCTCACTATCTGTACCTGGAAGCCCAACAGACTGGGGGTCGCCAGACCCCTCACTCACTCACTCACCACCCCAACGTGGGTCAAACAGTCCCTCCAGCCTGGAGTCTAGCTCCCTCCCACTCACCACCACACCCACCTCACCAGCCAGGTTCTCTGTGCCCAGTGGTTGAGCCATGGAGGCCTCTCTCTATTGTGTGGTCACAGACTGGTTCCTTCTGCATCACCTGGGAACATCGCCCGGGAGCTCGCCTGGGAGCTCGCTATGACCCTGCCCCACAAGGAACCAGAACACGATGTGTGAGGAGGGTGGGTGTGGTGGTGAGCTGAACACCCCAGAGCAGCACAGAGAAGGGCCCGAACAAGGGCTAGAGCCATGTGAAGTGAGAGCTGTTCCCTGTCAACGACTACGGAAACGACTAGAACAGACACCAAGCCAGGACCAGAACCCAACCTCGACTGGTCCCCACACAAAGCTCAGGGAGCCACAGAATGCCAGGACTCGTAGACCTGCTGGGCCACTACCCACAGCTGGGCCAGGACACGTACCGTGACCTCCGCCTGTAGCTCTTTGCTGCTCCGGGCTCACAGGCAGGCCCGCTGGTCAGTCCTGCAGACTTAGGCAGACAGCAGAACATGGCGACCCCAGCTAGGCACCTCCAGAGCTTAAATTTTAGTTCTTAAAAAATATCTGAGGGGCTAGGGTTGTGGCTCAGTGGTAGTGTGCTTGCCTAGCATGCGTGGGGCACTGGATTCTATTCTCAGCATCACGTACAAATAAATAAAATCAATGTCCATCAACAACTAAAAAATTTTTTAAAAAAATCAGAAATCCTAGAAAAAGTGAATTTTTCTCTGCCAAGTGTGATTTTTCTTAAAAAGAATAAAATATCTCATCTTTCAGCCAGGTGTGATGGTGCCCAGCTGGGGAGGCTGAGGCAGAGGACGGCAAGCTCAAAGGCAGCCCCAGCAGTGGCGGGAGACCCTCAGCAACTTTGTGAGACCGAGTATCAGACATTCAAAGATATGAAATAAAGGACAGGGACAGGGCTCAGGGGTTAACATCCCTGGGTTCAATTCCTGGTACCAAAAAAAATTCACCTTTCTATCAAAAAAGAATCGCTCTGTTCACTGAACCATTAGATGGAACTCAGCAAGCAGGATCCCACAGGAGAGCTGTCCCACAAGAAGTCAGGACTGCTGTGGTCACACGCGTGCAGCCCAGAGTCCCACGCAGTGTGGGACTGGCCAGGCAGTGTGGCCTCAAGACACGGTGGGACCCCATGGCAGGGCAGATGACAACTAACCCAGAAGCTGTGCCCAGTCAGTGTGATGGGTGACAAGAGTCAGGCCACCACTTCTGGACCTAAATGCAACTGCCAAGGGGACCCAGCGGTGTCACAGAAGCACCCACGACTCCCACCATGGTGCTACCTTGAGGGCGTTGATGACAGTCTCAATGTGGGTCTTGACAGCCTCATGGGAGAACTCGGAGCTGGCCAGCGTGCACATGCTCTCCAGAGCCAGGTAGCGCAGATTGGTCTCCCGGTGCTGCAGGAACTGGCCCAGCTGGTTGCAGGCGCGCACGAGCAGGTTTGGTTCACTGCACAGGCAGAAGCGGGCGGGAGAGGCTTCCTCAGCACTGGTCACACCAGCAGGAGAGCCTTGGACCCTGCTGTGCACTGACAAGGGCATGATATGCCACCCAAGCAAGAACTCCCGGGGCCCGAGAGGCAGGAGCCCAGCTTGGTTCCTCAGTTGGGTGTCACACCCTACAGCTCCTGCTCCCTCTGGAACCTCCCAAAGCTCTGAAGAACCCCACCCACTCTGGAGTCTGAAGGTCAAGGTGCTGCTGGCATCAGGTCCTGACCAGAAAAGCAACTTCAATCAGCAGCCAGCTTGGTGCACACGTGTACAGGCAGCAAAAGGCCAGGGCAACCAGCCAGTGAGGAGGCACGAGGCACGCACAGGCAACTCCACGCAGCACCCACTGCTTCGGGTGACTCCGACTCTCTTTAAGTACATTCAGTGAGGACCATGAGGCAACCTCCAATTAGAAACCTCATTTCACACGGCTCCCGACCCTGATGAGGGTGGACATCAGCCTGCTGCTCTACAAGGAAGCAGTGACTCAAGAACAGTTACTGTCTGCCCACAGGCCCCGTGGGCCACACGTCCCCTCTCTGAGCCAAAGCACAGTGCTGTAGGCCCACAGGGGAGCAGGACAGCCACCCACAGCCCTCTGTGCTGTGTCCACAGGCAGGGTTGTCTCTACCACTGCCTCAAGAGACCTGGGCCAGCACAGGACACACAACCTTCTGCAGGACTATGGGAAAAGCCAATCGGGACACAGAAGCACAGAGGGACAGGAGGTGGCTCTGGGGATGGCAACAGTCAGCAAAGCATCTGGTGAGGGTTCTGGGGCCAGAGAGGGCATGCCAGGTGGCAGTGGGGCAGAGCCCATGGGGAGCAATGCTGAGAGTCACACCAGCGTGTGCAGGAGGCCAGCAACTGACCTGTCATGGTGGATAATCAGGCTGATAGCCTCGAACAGCACCGCATTCTTGGCGTTGGAATGCTGTACTTTCTTTGACTTGGGCGGCTCCTGGGCTTTGTTCAGGATGGTCTCCAGGCACTCGGTCAAGCGGCCTCGCACTGCAGGGTCTTCTAGGCAAGGAAGAAGGACTGGTCAGGCTCCCTGGCCTCAGACCCACACCTGCTGAGAGGCCCCCAGACTGGCACAGCGGATCTGTGGGGCCCTCGACACAGCCAACCCTAACAGTGGGGCAGCTGGGAGCACTCACAAAACCACGAAAGAAACCCGAGTCAGCACCCCATTCCCATGGCACGGACACCAGAAATGAAGGGTCCTGCACCTCAAAGCAGGCCGCACACAGAGCACTTTTACTGGGATACAGATCACCTTAGTGGAAAGGGAATAAAATCCACAGATATGGACAAACACAATGAAAAAATCTTAGGCTAAAGGGCCAAAGGCCTTCTATGCACCTGCTCTCACCCACAGGGACAGGAAGAGCTGCAGTGGCAACACAGAGGGAAGCCTCACAAGGCCTCTGGGACCAAAGGGAAGGAGCACAAGGACCAGTGATAACTTGGCGACTCCTGTGACATGGCTACTAGCACTGGTGACAGGCCAGCACAGGACTCAGTGGCACAGCACTGGAGTTGATGGTAAGCCCTGCTTCATCTCTAGCACCATGGAAAGAAGGCTTGTCTCAAACTGCACAGATCTGAGACCACAGAAAAGCACAGAGGAACCCTAGTCTTAATAAAACTGAGACACGGCTGTATCAGCAGAGGGAGCTACAAATGAAAACCAGGACTCCTGCAAGGAACTTCCCGCAACAGCAGAAGGCTCAAATCTACTCAAAGAACTAAACCCTCCCGGTGCAGGTCTGGGTAGGCCGACTTCCCCTGCCCCGCTGGGCATCACCTGGGGGTGGGTAGCACTGCAGCAGCCTTAGGAGCTTGACCGACAGCCAGGGCGCCGGGACAAAATAGTAGGTGTAATCCTGAAGATCTGTTGAGGCCGACGTCACAATCTGTAACACAGAACAGGTGAGAGGTGCTGACAGCAGGAACCCCCAGAGGGCACCCAAGAAGCCACGCTGGCTCCTGAGGCCATGCCCATCTGCAGATCCACTCTGTTCCAGGTGCACACACAGCACTGCTTTCCTGTCTCCACATCAGGCACACTGCAGGCCTGTGCCACGCCCCAGTGGACAGTCCTGTCCTGTCACCATGATGCCTGCCGTGCTCTGCAGCACAGAAGGGTCACAGCAGGTGCCAGTCAACAGCCAAGCAGCAGTCCTCTCTGGCACCCCACTCTGTGATGCCTGAATGTGACATCAGCCTTTCCTCTGAGGGCTGGGGAATGAATGGCATACCAGAGCAAGAGCTTTAGGCCCCTAGGAAGGGAAGAGACTCCTTGAAGAAGCCAGAGTTCTGACCCCACCCAGGCCCTGCAGCCCCAGGCACGGACCTCTGTAGTGAACTTGCTGAGTAGCAGCAGGCTGCACTTACAGCTCAGCACAGCCCTACACAGCAGACCTCACCATCCTTGGAGAAAGGAGAACCTATGGCTGAGACCTCGTTCCTATTGGCACACAACCAGGGTCTTCCTCCTCCTGCTCCAGGAGCTCAGAGTGGCTCCTCCTCCCCACAGAGCACACGTGTGATATGGATGCCAGCATGAACCCACCTGAGAAAGCTCAACCAACCCTTGCCCTAAGCTAAATGGTACTAACCTAAACTGTGGTTGTACACACACCTCCTGCAAGAAGCAGAGCTCAAAGCTGCTCAGCAAAGAGAGACCGACAGGACAGACACGCACTGCCAGAGAGCAGAGGCAAGCACATTAGGCAGGCACCACACTGTTTCCCATAGGGGAATTCCTACAAAGGAGACCCTACTTTAAATGGCTTCCAGTTAATTAATTATAAAAGTGTCCAGCAAATTAAAGATAGGAACTTCTTTAACGTGATCAAGAAAATCAACAAGCAGTGGCCACATCTGCCATCCCAGCTGCTCGGGAGGCCGAAGCAGGAGGATTCAAAGCTCAAGGCCAGTCAGCAACTTAGCAAGAGCCTGTCTCATGATAAAAACTAAAAAGGGCTGGGGGTGTGACTCAGTGGTTAAGCAACCCAGAGTTCAATCCCCAGTACCCAAAAGAAGAAAACCAACAACAACAACAAAAAAGAAACCGTTCTACAGCAAACATCATACTTAATGGTAAAATATCAAAAGCCTTCCCAATGAGACAAAACACAAAATACTGATCACGACTTCTGTTCAACATCACAATGGAGGTCTGGACTGGAGCAATAATGCAGGTGAAATGAACAAATACGGGCTGGGAAAGGAAAAATAAACATAGATGATACAGTGGAATGTAAAGAAAATCCAAAGAAAGCTGCACATAAAGTACTATCAATCAGGGAATTCAGGGGGCTGGGGTTGCAGCTCAATGGTAGAGCACTTGCTAGCCCATGTGGGGCACTGGGTTCAATCCTCAGCCCCACATAAAAATAAATAAATAAATAAAACGGAGGTATTGTGTCCAACTACAACTAAAATTTGAAGGAAAAAAAAACAACAAGGAGTCTGGGAAAGTTGCCAACTCCAAGATCAATGCAAGACTGACTATAGTAGCCAGCTTTGGTGGCATAAGCCTGTAATCCCAATAGCTTGGGAGGCTGAGGCAGGAGGATTGCATCAAAGTTCAAAGCCAGCCTCAGCAAAGGCAAGGTGCTAAGCAACTCAGTGAGATTCTGTCTCTAAATACAATATAAAATAGGGCTGGGGGTGTGGCTCAGTGTTTGAGTGCCCCTGAGTTCAATCTCTGGTACAAAAAAAAAAAAAAATAAAAGATACTGTATCCATCTGTAACTAAAAATGATACAGAGAGAGAGAGAGAGAGAGAGAGAAAGCGGGGCCTGGGAGAAACCTGCACAGCATGCAGATGCCCAATCCACTGGAGGTCTAGAGGAGAAAGGTGGGGCATTTACAAGAATTGTACAAAGTGCCCAGAGTCAATATGGAGCAGGAAGAGGGTCTGAGCATGAGGAGATGGAGAGAAGAAAGGAGTCTGCCTCTGTGACCCCAACCCCAGCCTCCCAAAGTCTTTGAGCATTTGGGCTCAGTCAGCTGTCCCTGCCCCACTTCAAGGCCTAATTCTTGAGCTGCTCAGAGGAGTGGAAGTTTCCTTCCCACATCTGCTTGACCCCCAGCGTCTCCTCAGGTGCCGCAAGACAGAGGGAGAAGGAACAGGACCGCCTGCAGGTTCCTGCTGGGTGCCAGTTCCCCTGGCCCAGCCCCATTATCCTCCTCCCACACCAAGCAGCCTTGGAGAACAGCAGGGAGAACAATCTCTGCCCCCCAATTTAATCCAGAACCAACGTGATGACAAAGGAGCATCCCCTCCCCATCCCCTTCCCCTCCTACAGAGGCAAAAGGAATAAGAGAGAGGAAGAGGAAGGGACCCAGACTGGTCACACACTGCAAGGAAACACATCACAGGCCTGGCCAGGGCAGTTGGCAGACCTCCACTTCAAAGTGTGACGGTGCAGGCCCAGCAGGAAGGGCTATGGCCTGGCACAGAGCTGTCATCAGGGCTGTGGAAGGGCACAAGCTGGTCAGCGTCACCCTCCAGGGGAATTAAGCAGCCAAGTGGCAGTTTCTGTTTGATCCCAAGGTAGACAGCAATGTATGAGCATACATTCCCCAAGTCTGCCATACCCCTCCACTCCCTGCCCCTGCCCTCCAGTCCTAGACCTAGCCATGGAAAGTGCTGCCGACGGTGAAGCTGCAGGCCAGGAGACTCCATTCCCCAGGTCGAGGAACCAGGCTGTGACTGACAAAGGCACCCACAGGTGCCTGAGCTGATTCCCACAGCATTCTGCATCACCACAGGTGTTCCTGCAAGTGACCCTGGTGGGAGGAGGCTGTCAGGGGTGCCCCGCTGTCTTTCCATAGCTTGGGGATCTCAGCCTTGCAGTGGTTGTGGGCACTGCTGATCATGGTGCTGGAGATAGGCAGCCCTTGACTCCACCTCCTGAGGTGCTGCAGCTGAACTTCAGGCCTGGCAGCTGCTCCTCCTACCACTCGGCCTCCCCCAGGCTGGCCAGGCTGCCCCAGGAGTGGAGGGATGCCAGGGATGGGCCACAGAAGGCACGGGTGGTGACAGATGAAGGGGTGCCTTTCCTGGAGCATGACAGCTTGGTATGGGCAGGCTTCCCCCCCTGTGCCAGGGCCAGCCTGGGGCACCCAGTCCCCACCCTCCAGGGTCTTCCTATCCTGCAGGAGGCAGCTGGGGGGGTCACTCCTTGTACTTCTGGCTGTTCGAGGCCTCTCCGTTTCTTCCTGGGTGTAGCCCCCACATACCATCACCTCCATTTGCTTGATGTCCCCAAAGTTCTGCTCAGGCTCTGCATGTGATTCCAGCTCCTCAGCCTGTGGCTGGAGAGCACAGTGTTTACTTGGGTTCAGCACCAATGATCTCTATAGGATACTCTCAGTCTGTGGATATAGAGAAAGGGACCCAGTACTTCCCCTGAGGACACACTCCTACAGCTCCTTGAGGGCAAGGAGCCGCCGACAAGGGGTACAGCATGATGCCAGGCATCATCCACCTCTGGCCTATCGTACCTCTTGCCCTGGAACAGCTCCAGGGCAGCAAATGGGTGTTCCTGCGAAACATGTCCAGCTTCAAGCCCAGAGTGAACTCACTGCTGAGCTGAAGACTGTGACCTGGAAGTCTGGAGGTCGACATCGGCATCTGGCAGGAGGTCCCCCGCCCTCAGTCCCCATGCACAATGCTTTTCTAGAGTCAACAGTGCGCTCGGTACATCCTGGCTCCTGCGTCCTCCTCCCTGTGGCCACCAGGTACATGTCTCCTCAGTCTCCACCAGCTTCAAGAGCTTCATGTGTGGGGTGTTATAGGCCCTTCATGACGCGGGCTTCTTGCAACAGCCTCAGCAAGCTGCTGGGGTTCTGCTGGACCCTGCCTAGATGGCGACCTCCCGCTGGGCCAGCTTGCCTGATCTGAAGCAGGCAGTAGTTGCCCATGTGGGGCTGTTCCTCAAGACAGAAGGCGATGGGGTTCAGCAGCAGGCACCCAGGGAGCAGCTGGACCAGGACAGTCCTTTGCCAAAAGACTGCCACTGCCCAAAGTGCCATGCTAAGGCTGAGACGCAGATGGGAGGATGAGGCCTGAGCCGGACTGCCCCCGTCAGACCACCCCAGTCGGATTGCCAAGGCTTCTCTGTCACAGTTCCAGTGGTTGCCTAGGGCGTGTGCCTACCACCAAGACATCTCCTCTGGGTCCCAAGGGGCAGAGGCAGCTGGGGAAGGGGGGACGGGATCCAGGGATTCCCCATCTTCCCCTCCCCTACTGCCAACCTAGGAACATGAACCCAAAAGCTGGGTGCCATGATGCTTGAGTCCATGCTGTGGGAGAGGAAATGGTGGGGAGGGGGCGTCAAAGGTCTTAGCAGCCCACACAGTGGGTTCACAGGGTGCCATGGGGCAGCTCACGGAAAGGCAGGCAAGTGCCAGGGAGGGGCACAGAGCAAACTGGGGCCATCTATATGAAAGAATATTACTCAGCCTGAAAATGGAGTTCTGAAATATTCGGCAACACAGGTGAACCTTGAAGGCAAGTAAAATGAAGGAAATAAGCTAATCACAAAAGCAATCCTGTGTGATTCCACTCATGAGGTCCTGGGCTTGTCAGAATCCCAAAGACAGAAGGCCAGCCACTGGAGCAGGGGTGGGGTAGGGAGCCCATGTTTAATGGGGACAATATCAGATTCACAGGAAGGGAAGAGTCACAGTGTTATGTGTGCATTATTAAACCACTTCACACCACTGAATTACACTTGGAAAGCTAAGAGGGTGTTCTGTTACCTGTATCTTATATAAACAGACAGCAGACAACGGTGAAAAACTGGGCTGGGGTGTGGCTCATGGGGAGTGCACTGGCCATGGGGAGTGCACAAGGGGCTGGCTCAATCTCTGGCATCACACACACAAAAGTAAAAATTTCAAGCTACTGCTGGGCGTAGTAGCACACACCTAGAATCCATCCCAGCGGCTTGGGAGGCTGAGGCAGGAGAATTGCAAGTTCAAAGCCAGCCTCAGTAAAAGCGAGGTGTTAATAAGCAACTCAGTGAGACTCTGTCTCTAAATAAAATATACAAAGTGCTAGGAATGTGGCTCAGTGGTTAAAGCCCGTGGGTTCAATCCCCAGTACCCCAAAATTAAAGAAATAAAAAAATCAGGCTATCATTCAAAATAGCATTTTAAATGTAAAATATAGAAATACATGTAATGAAAGAATCTCAAAAAGATAAAATGCTATGGAAAGTAAAGACTATCTTGGGCCGGGGTTGTGGCTCAGTGGTAGAGCACTTGCCTAGCATGCATGAGGCACTGGGCTTGATCCCCGCCACCACATTAAAAAAATAAATAAATAAAATAAAGGTATTCAAAAAAATAAATAAATAAAGACTATCTAAATAAATAGAGAGAGATACCGCATTCATTCATAAAGTCAATCCAAAATCCCAGCAGGATTTTGGGGGTAGGGAACCAGGACATCAGGGTTTGCTCTGTGGGACACCAAGAGCCAGCCCAGTAAGGTCAGGAGCACAGGAGGAGAGTGCTTGAGGAGAGCACAGAGGAAGGCGCCTGGTCTGCAGGGCTCTTTAGCCTGGTCCAGGGTGCCACACCATAGAAGAGGCATCTGCACCACCAGCCTTGGAACACAGGCTCAGCAGCCGCACTCAGACAGCATTGATCACAGAGAAGCCTAGCAAATCTGACTGCACTGCTGTAGAACCTGAAGGCAGAAGACTCCATGAAGACCATGAAACACAGGTTCACAGCAATTTCCAAACACAGGGCAGGGCAACCCATGTGAAGCTGCCATTTTTGAAGATCAACCAGAAATAAATGTTGGCCAGTTCTAAGGTCCAAACTAATATAGCCAATAGAGTTCTCGTATCTAAAACAAACAAGGAAATTCCACGAAACAACAAAGACAATCCTGTAGAAAAATGAACAAAAGTCTTCAGCCCTACATAGGACAGATCCCAGCAGCCAATCCACATGGAAAGTACCACCTCACAGACAGTGAGGAGAACACAGCATAGATCACAATGAGAAGCCACAGTCAAGAGGCTAACCCCTGCAGCACTGGGCAGGGTACAGAATGGGTGCACAGATGCCCAGCATGGGTGCAGACGGCAAGGCCACTTTGGAAGCTGGGTGCATTGCCCCTCAACTTAGGAGAGCCACCCTGGACCAGCGTGAGCAAGAGAGAACCACAAGAGCCTCACTGTGGGGCTGGGGATGTGGCTCAAGCGGTAGCACGCTCGCCTGGCATGCGTGCGGCCCAGGTTCGATCCTCAGCACCACATACAAAGATGTTGTGTCCGCCGAAAACTAAAAATATATATATATATATATTAAAAAAATTCTCTCTCTCTTTAAAAATAAAATAAAAAATAATTTAAAAAAAAAAAAAGAGCCTCACTGTGAAGAGAAACAAGGGGCTCATAATAGTAGAAGGGCTCAACACATTGTGATCCACCACACAACCCAGATATCTGCAGCCTCTGAGACCAGGGGCTCAAGTCACACAGAACAAGCATGAGGACTACACATGCAGAGAACACGTGCCCAGGGATGGCTCACGGGACCCAAGATAGTCAAGGACGCCACTCAGGTGGGTGCCACCCAGGTGAGGACAGGCATCCTTTCCAAGAAGCCCCGTTGTGACCCTCAGCCTGCACAGGGGATGGAATAAATAGCAAACAGGACAGGCTTTGTGTGCTAGCCCTGCTGGGACAGGATTCTTCTCAACTAATAAAAAGGTTTAAAGAAACGTTAAGGGCTAATCAACCAGTTTCCATTCTTAAATTCACAAAGCATTCAAAAAAGTAAACTAAGAGATTAACTGAATAACACAATGAAGACTAAAGCCCACCCGACGACTGCCCCACCACACTCACTCTGCTCAGCCTGGAGACGGCCAGGGAGACTGAGGTCTTGAATTCCTCTGGGTTCTTCTGGGCCAGTGTGCTGATGAGGCTCGTAGCAGCAGTCACCACACCCTGAGAGACACAGCAACAGATGCCTGGTTTCAGGCAGACAGCCATGTGGGCCTCAGGCCTGCTCTGATGGACCCATCACATCTTTAAGATGGAGACAGTACACACAGTCTCCTTTACCCAGCTTCTCTCTAGAACCCAGGGAACGTGGCTGGCCCAGGCTCTAGCGTGGTCAGATCCTGTGTGGAGCAGCCTTTCTCTCCGCCATCTGTCCGCCTGTCGTCACCTGCTGGGCCGCCCAAGTGACACCACTACAGAGGCAACCAGGCCCACAGACTTGAGTCTTCAGAGCCCTGCCATGCCTCACTCCGCCCCTGAAGTGCCACAGCCTGGATGGAAACCCCCAAGCCCAGGAGACCCTCCCCTGCAGTGCATGTACACCATGCAGAACCCCCAGAAGGCAGGGTCCTATAAATGAAATCTCTTCAAAGACTTGGACTGAGTAAAGACATTCTCTTACAAATATAAGATAAAGGAAAAAATGAATGACTCTGATTGACCCTGAAGATGTGGGCAGTCAGCTCAGTAGTTGTCCACTTCAACCACTGCCAGAGCCTAAGGTTCCCACCCTACCTACTCCTACACTGAGTGGGGGAGTGGGTCCATGAGGGCCACTAAGGGCTCTCTTCCACTTCCTGATGGAAACAGGAACACTAGATTCAAGACAGACCTAACTGGGCATCCTGTACATTTGTCAATGGCAAGATAAATGCTGACACGTCTTCCCATGGCTGACAAAGAAGAACCTTTAGGAAACAGGATATGCAACATGCAAACCCACTGGGACAAAGTCTTTCACCACCCAGCTCCTAGAGTTTGAGATTCTCATCTTTGCAGCTGCCCGGCTCAATGGCTGCCAACTCAGGGCGTGCTCTCCTGTGCAGTCTTTCCAGGGAGTCAGGCCTGAGGGGACGTGTGTGCTACAAGGGCATGGCACCATGGCAGGCCATAGTGTGACTTCCACCACCTTCTCCCTGCCCCCACTTCTCCAGACATCAGCTCATTTCCTCATCCACTCCAGCCCACCCACTCCATCACATGACCACAGGGTCCAGGACCACCAAGCCCAGCTCAGGGCACAGCACGTGGCTCAGACCCATCTCCTTTCCCACCCTCACAGCCTCTGCACTCACCTGACACTGAACTCCTGACCTCCTCTGCCAGGCCTGCCCACACCTCACCTTGCCCTATCCGCAAGGCCCTGAACCCCTATACTGCTCTCTGATTAGGCAAATGACACCTTCCCAGGGACCCTGACCTTGAGGTCAGAGGAAGCCAAGCCCCAGGCCTTGCTCACAGCAGAGCTGGAGACGAGCTGTGCAAGGAAGAAAAGTGGCAGAGAGGACGAGGTACTAGGCCGTGAAAGGCTTCCTGGCCCTTATCTATTGCAAGCCTGTGGCCCAGAGCTTGTCCATCAACTCGCCTGGCAAGACAGAGTTGTGCACAGAAAAACCTGAAAGCAAACCAGGTCACTGGGGTCTCAGTCACAGCATGTCAGGCAAGAGGCACCGTCCTGCCACCCTGTGAAGCTCTGTGCACCTGAAGCCATGGGAAGTCTCCCTCCAGGCTGCATGAAGGCAACACCTGCCAAAACTCCACAGATGCTCACACAATGCAGAAGGCCTGTCAGCAGCAGGCTGGCTGTCCCTTAAAGCTCTACTACTCCACACCTTCACAACACCTGGGTCTGAGACTGCCGGACACCCTCTGGAAGCCTAGCTTCATCTTTCTGAGCCTTGGTTTCCTCATTTGCAAACCTGCAAAAGGCCCACTGGCCCACAGGGTCTATTGGCAGTGAAGTGTGACTACAGAAGATGCCTGGAAAAACGTCTTGCAGCTCACTGCTGAAGCAGGCTGCCCCGCCTGCAGCAGACCCACTCCTGCAATGGTGTCCTCAGAGCGTGCTCCCTGCACCAGGACCTGCAGGAGCCAGCTCCCTCTCACATCCCAATAAGCACAAAAGTCATCATGTGCTTGGGGACAGCTCAGACAGATGTCATTCCACAGCAAAATCCCACTGCAACCCCCATGCTCTCTCTCCTTAATGATACATGTAATGATTTTCATTTTTAATTAACTTTTGCAGAAGATTTCTCCTGGGGAAAAAGCAGGAACCAGCTAGCGCACTCACCCACCCACCCAGCAGGGAGACGGACCACCTGTCCAGCAGAGGACAAGCAACACAGCCACTGCTACCTCCCATGGCCCTGGCCTGGCCTGGGTGGCCTACTCCATGACATACCCTGACTGCTGAGTCCCTGAAACCTCACCCCATCTACAAAATGAATGACAGCTGGGCTCACCAGCACTAAGCCATCATGCCAGAGTCTACCTGGGACCACAGGATTCTACCTCCTAGCCCAAGCCAGGCAGCTGCCAGAAACAGTAGTGGGAATGTCCTGTGCGGGACAGGCTCTTCCAGAAGGCACTGACCTGGTGGTGCCCCTCCCCACAGGTGCAGGCCACCTGTGCACTGGCTGTGCAAAAAGTGCAGGGGCAGTTGCACCTCTGCTGGTCCCTGCTCCCTATCTGCAGAGCCGCACTGCCTCTTGGACCAAGGCTCTTCCCGGGAAGACTGCAGGGGGCTGGAGCACATACCAAATGCTGGTCGTTGAGGAGATGCACAACACGGGACGTCCAGTCACCCATGGGGACAAGGTCAGGAGACGTTCTGTACAGGCGCAATAGACACAGGGCTGCACTCTGCTTCACGCTGTCCATGGTGTCTCTAGAAGACAAGATACCAGAAGCTACTGCAGAGGATGACCCCCTGCACACAGTGGTGTAAACAGCATGCAGGATCACCAGAAGACATGAGTCAGGAGTGGTATGGCAGAGTCCCTCTGGGAAAACCTTCATCCTCAGCTCCCTCCTCTAGACTCGTCACCATTCCCAGGCACTGAGTGAGGCCCAGCTGTGTAGGCTGGCCCCACTCAACAAGGCTCCTCCTGGTTCTTCCCACAACCACAGGGCCACCTAAGAGGGACTCCCCTGCCACAGCAATTTCTTCTCTGGCCTCCAGAATGCTGTCAAGCCCTCCTGTAGCCACTGCACACATTTTGCCCTGCTCCACCCTGCCAAGAATGGGAGCTGGCTGGGTGCTCTGTGGTCTGCAGTGAGGAGGAAGGGCCCAAGGCACAGAGGCCTGGGGTGTGAAGGGCACCAGCACTGCTGCTAATGCCCAAGGCAGGGAAGGGCTTTGATTTGTGTGCAAAGATGAGCAAACGGGAGGTTTTAGGAGAACACACCTAGTGTGGCACAAAGGTGTCACTTCCATGTCCAGCCTGCAGTCACACCTGGCGACTACCCACCTGCCTTCCGGTCACATTGAGCCAAGTCTCCGGGCCAGCGTCTGGCACAGGGGCATACTCTCCTCTCTCTTCCCTCCCAGTGAGCAAAAAGGCCAGCAGCACAAAGGCTGCGTGCGGGTCAGTGCAGAGGACTGTTAGGGGTACCTGCCAAATGAGCCTCCTTCTCCACACCCCCAGCCAGACTCCCAAACAACAGGCACACCAGGAGATACCCTCCGGCTGCCCTGGAAAGAACCAGTCCACGTCCTGGGGACATTTAAGGTAGAAACAGCTATTCCACTTGGAAGAGAGATGAGAGCTTGGGGGCTTTCCTGCTTACCTTTTGTATTTGGGATTTTTATTCCTAAATGTGATAAAAACCAACATGAGAAATCCCTACATCTCCCCAGCACTATTCTAAACAAAACTTACTTCGAAAGAAAAGTTCTTTTAGACACAAACACCCAGAAGAGTAGCAGGCACCGTGCCCCTCCTAGCCCTACAATCAGATCTACTGGGCCTGCAGGGTCTGTGTGGCACCAGCCAACTGACTTCCTATGCACCGCCCTGAGTGGCCAGTCTCTGTGCCTGTGACAAGGATGCTGAACAAGAGTTGTCTGCACATTGCCCCAGGCCTCTGTCGACAGACCCTCCTAGGGCAACTGTCCATAGCATGTCCTCACAGGAGGGCCAAGGCCAGCCATCAGTGTGGACCCTGGGGCATTGCACTGGAACACCTGGGCCCAGAGCACTTCTAAACTGCTCCACAATGCTGAGTATCACCAGAGTCCCAGGACAATGATACCACCAGCCTCCAACCCTGCCCTCTCCTGCATCCCTATTTCTGGTGACAGGACTATACTCCATGAAGTTGCCTTCCGCACCTAGGAGCCTCCTGTCTCCAGGGACTGGAGGTCAGCAGTGTCCTCTGACCATGGCATCGACGCCAGAGCACTACTTTCAGAGCCACCTACTGCCCAGGGGACTCCATGGCTGGCCTGTTGCTGTAGTGAGCTTTGAAAGAGGCGGCAACTGTCCATAGCATGTCCTCACAGGAGGCCCAGCTGCGGAGAGATGCCAGCCCACCTGTCAGCTATAAGAGAGCTCTTGCTTGGTCTTCCTCCTCACCCTCACTTACATGCAGCATGTGGGTGACCTCAGGGAGCACTTTGCAGGGATGACCCAGCTTACATTCAATCCACCTAGATGCTCACTGAGCACTCCCTGTGGGCCAGTCCTGTGCACAGTGATGGAGGAAAGCGGCAGCCACAGCTGACAGAGAGCCCCGCCACCACTGCTCAGGACAGGTCAGGCAACCCAGAGATGTCCTGTGCACAGGGCTTTGCAGTGACTGAGCAGGGAGGAGGGCCTGGGGTCCTCGCTGGCCTCTTCTCAGACCTTCCTCCCTAGCTCTGATATCTGGCCTGTGCTCTGCTCAACACCCACTCAGACCCTATCCATCTCCTTCCATCTTGGAGGTCCCGCTTCTGGCTGAACTCCCACTGCAAACACAGCCAGAAGGTACTACCACCTTCCTCCAAGCCTTGAAACCCTGTTCAATCACTGACAGTCTCCGCCTCTTTCAGATCCTGCTTGAAGGTGCAGCTAGGCACACGACCCTGTGAGTGTGGTCCAGCTATCCAATGCCAAGGAGCACCAGAACAAGCACGTGGTGGTTTCAAGGCCTAGGCTGTCTGAACCTCTTCGAGAGCCAGCTACTCAGCCCACTCAGCTGCTCTCCCAATTAACGGGGAGGGGGCAAGATGACTCAGAATCCCCAGGATTCCACAGCATGGCCTCTTCTCCTAATGTTTCTGGGAAAGGCAAGAAGCAGAGCTGGCACAACAGGACACCTCTGTGCCTCCCCATCCTGGTGCCATGCTAGGCTGGAGCCCCTTCTGGCCTGGCTGCTGCTGCCTGGGCAGCACTTCCTTCGGCAACGTGTTGTCTAAATCTCGGTGGCCTCAGGGAGGTGCAATCTGACGGGACTTCACCCAAACTCTGAACCAGCAGCTTTTTTTTAAGAACTAGTGACTGAAGCCAGGGGCACTCTAACAATGAGCCACATTCCCAGCCCTTTTCATTCTATTTTTAAGTTGCTGAGGCTGGCCTGAATGTGCAATCCTCCCCGCCTCAGCCTCTTGAGCCATTGGGATGACGGGCATGTGCCACCATGCTCAGCTGAATCAGCACATCTTGACCTAACCTCAGAGTATGCCACATGCCCATAACACAGCTGGGAGGCCAGACCACCTGTGTAAGTGGCATCGCGCACCCAAGGGTTCAACATGGACAGAAATGGCAGCCCAGAGCCCCCAGATACGCACCCTGCCACGAGGATCTTGGGGATTTCCCCGGCAAAGGCCTCAGCCATCTCACGGCTGCCCACGTTAGCGATGCAGTGCAGAGCCAGGCCCATGAACGTTGGGTTACGGCTGGCCAGGTCATTCTTGATGGCGTTGTTTATCAAGCGGATCAGCTCACTGTTGGAGTTCACCAACACGGAGATGAAAAGGTAGCCCTGTGTTCCAGGAAGGGCAAAGTCATTCAGGTAAATGTACTTCCCAGCAAATGCACCAGCCCAGACTGCAGGGCACATCCCCGGGGCACAGAGGTGAGGTCATAAGGAGAACAGCAGGAGAAGCCACCTCACCAGAAGAACCCCACCCCAGGAAAAAGGCCCGCCCTTGCATTCCCCCTGCCCAGGAGCATCCATGTGGGGTGGAAAGGGCGGGGTCCCAGGGTGTTCACTAAGCGTCCACCCAGAGCACAGAGTGGGACAGGAGAGTGAGGCCAGTGGGCATAAGACCCACCCTGCCTCCACACTCACAATCTGCTTTTCGGTGTATCTATTTGAACTCAACAGGTTCACAGCCTCCATGTGTCCAAAGTCAATGTCGTGACCAAGGAGAAAGATGAAGAGCAATTTGCAGACATATTTTTTTTTACTGTAGCCATCAAGAGCCTTGTCACCTAGAGAAAGAGTGAGAAGAGGGTCAATTCTAGTGAGTGAGGCTGGGAGAACTGGCCAGTAGAGCAACAGGGGTAGTGAGTAGACCTTCACAGGGACAGGGCAGTGGGGCCTGGGCCAGCAGCCACAGTCCACATGCTGAGCATCCCCTTTAACAAAGGAATGCCTGGCAGCAGAAGCTCCATCCTCCCAGGACAACCCCGCAGGCTGTACAGCAGTCTGGACCTCCCCTGTCCTGCCACAACCCACCACAGCTCCCGCAGTGCTGGAATTCACACGTCCTGCCACAAGCTACAAGTCAAGTTTAAAATGTGTTTATTAATTTAGATAGATAAACATCATCTAAATTATCTTCTACTTCACAAGTTTTAGAACAAATCACGTAGCCATGAGAGCCACATGCAGACAGCATTATGGAACCACCACAAGACCATGGCAAGGTGGGTCCAGAGCCAACACCAGTAGACATACCTCTGCCCTCCCTTCCACCTCCAGCCCCACCAGGCAACACTGGCAAGGTGGGTCTTCTCACTGGGTAGGGTCAGCACATGGGGCTTACGGGAGGGCCCTGGGAGGATGGCTGAAAAATAAAGTCCCCTACAAGGGTTGACAGTGCACCGACCAGCTAGAAACCACAGGTGGCATGCCTGGGGACCTTCCTGTTCTTCAGCAACAAGTCAGCAGCTCATGTAAAAGACCTAAAACATAAACAAGACCAGCGCAGACTCCATCTCCACCCTGTTCCCTGGCACAAGCCCACGGCACCTCCCCTGGGAGAATCCAGCAGTGCATCTCCTGCTCGCTCCAGAACCTGCTGCCTCTGGAAGCCTCCTCTGACCACAGCCCAAAGCTCTGCTTACGCTCCTCCTGCTGCTCAGGTGAAGCACTCTGACAAGAGCATGGGGCAGGGAAGCAGCTGCTTCTGTGGAGACAGCGAAGGGGCTCCAGCCCTGGACCAGCAAGTCCTCTTGGATTCTACTCCTCCCAGACCCAGAAGTATCATGCTTCCTATGGAGGAACACAGCTGGAAGGGCCATTGTGGGTGGGTCAGCAGGCAGGCTGAGGACTCGGGTTAGGCCTCTCAGCCAGACCAGAACCTTGCCATGACTCTCTCCACAGGTCCACAGCACCCAGCTTTCCTCTGCAGCCCCATGTGACTGGCTAGGGCAGGGGGCACCCATACCTGTGCAGGCCCCCAAAAGCTTGCGCTTATCTTACTAAACAAGCAACTTCTCCAGTCTCAGGGGATTAAGCCTCCCCTATGCTCCTTGTCCTGCCTTGGGGACACACAGGCCCTTACATCTCAGCTACTCTCCCCAGAGTTCAGTGTCCTCTCTCAGATGAGACCCAAGCTGTTACCAACTTCAAACCGTTAGATTCAGTACTGAGCTGGGCTTGTTCCCCCCGCCCCTCCAGTAATTTCAAAATGCTAAGGAAACTTTCACTTCCTGGACTGTAAAATGGGAAGGATGTAGCACTGCCCACCTGTGTGGCTTGCTGTTAAGATCAAAGGACAGGGTAGGTAGAAAACCTCCTTCTGAGCAAGGACTGGGACTCTAGGACAAAGGGGATGACTGCCTGGTAGGCCTGGCCACAGGTGAGGCCTTCACTGCTCTTTGACCCCTCCAGGCCCAGTATGCTCTTGGGGTGCTATGGAAACAAACAGGGTGCTGCACACAGAACTCAGCAGTGCTGGGGACGAGTGACCAGGACTGGTGTGGAAGGTCTCCTGGGAGGGACGAAAACCATGCTATAGGCACCACAATGGTACCCGCCCCGTCCTCTGCAGCCCCAACCGGCACCACCTCAGGAGTAGCTGGGCTATCAGCCAGGTCACTGCCAGGGCCCTCACATCTAAAGAGACCCTGGCACTGGGGGTGGCTCCACAGGCCTGTGCTGAATAAAGAAGGAAAGAGTAATCAGACCACTGCAGCTGGAATACAGGCTGCCGAGGTGAAAACAAAAGACATCCCAGTCGTCCCAGTTACGGATTCATGAAATTTAATTATAAACGGACAACCTTCATCCCATTCCCGTTATCTTAGGAATACAAAGTGTTCTCCCCACAGAAGACTGCACCAGGGCAGGGTGTGGTTCAGTGGCAGGGTGCTTGCCCAGCACATGTGAGGCACTGGGCTTGATCCTCAGCACCACACAAAAATAAGTAAATAAAATACTGTGTCCATCTACAACCAAAACAATTTCTTAGATCAATTGACCCTAAATTAAATGTAAGCCTTGGGTTCAATCCCTAGCACTACCAAAAAAACAAAAAACACTATGCCAAGTACTGTATTAATTACCTTGAATTAGCTGTTCCACCATGTATACACACATCTAAACACCAAGCTGAAGGGGAAAGAGGAGGCGGGAGTGGGCAGGTGGGGGCAGGAAAGATGGTGGAATGAGGTAGACATCATTACCTTAAGTACACGTATGAAGACACAAATGGAGTTAACTCTATTTTGTGTACAACCAGAGATATGAAAAATTATCTATATGTGTACTATGAATCCTAATGCATTCTGCTGTCATATGTAACAAATTAGAATAAATAGAAAAAAATTAAAAAGAAGTATTGAGACATCATGATAGGTCACTGGGGACCCTGCTCTTAAAGTAGTTTCTTGTGGAACTATGATTAATTGCTCATAAAAAGATTGCTATGAATGGGGGAAAAAAACACCATCTGCACACTATAAATATGTAGAATTTCTGCTTATCAATTAAAATTCCCAACTGAAAAAAAAATAATAAAATATTTTTTCATATTAACTCACCAAGTCTTCAGTTATAGTTACACAATGAAACTCAAACATAACTGCACCTGCTTGTTTTGATGTATTTTCTAATATAAAATGCTTACACTTCCTGGCCTGGGCAGGCACCTAAGTGAGGGCCAAGGTGTGACCAGCACTCCTTGTGCAGCCCAGCAGGTCCCCACCTGACCACAAGACCTTGGCACCAAGCTGGCTTATGCTCTTGGCCCCGCAGCCCACAGACCCTGAGGTGCAGACTAGGCTGGGGAAGGGGCTCCAGTGCACCAAGGCTCCCCAGGTCTCAGATGGGAACCTCCCAAGTGGGCAACAACAGGCACGACATTAACTAACCCACACGCTGCCTGGAGCTAGGGCTTAGAACTCCACATGGAATGAACCTCTCAGTGACTTCTCAGACACAATTCTGAAGCCCCAGAAGGAAACTGGATTGATCAAAATGGCCACTATTGAGTTGAGGCTGCATGCAGCTCAGTGGTAGAACGCTTGCCTAGCATGTGTGAGGCACTGGGTTCAATTCTCAGCATCACATATAAGATTCATCAACAACTTAAAAAAAAAATGTCCACTGTTGCACCAGTGGACAAGGCAGCCTATGGAATGGACGATGTTTCAAACCAAATATCCAGTTAGAGGTAAAACTCAGAATATGCAGCATCAGTGGCAAAATCAGAAACAGGAAAAGGCCTCAGAAAAGCATTTCTGCAATGAAGGCAGACAAAGGCCACAGCACACAGAACAACACTCCTCACCCCTAGCTACCAGGAAATGCACATCAACGCCATGACAACTGCCTGGCTGGGAAGGAAGGGAAAACAGAAACAGCAAGCTTGTCAAGCAGGAGAAACAGCCCCTCGGGTGCTGCTGGCAGGAATGCAAGACAGGCGGCCACTGTGGAAAACAGCACAGGGATCTTTAAAACACCAGACGCACACAGCAGGCTGGGCGTGGTGCAGTGGGGTGCACCTGCCCAGCATATACAAGGTCCTGGTTCCATCCCAACACCACAAAGCAGGGCACACCTGTCATCCCAGTGACTCCAGAGGCTGGGGCAGGAGGACCCCAAATTCAAGGCCAGCCAGGGCAACTTAGCAGGACCCTAACTCAAAATATCAAAAACTTTTCAAAAGGGCTGTTGATACAGCTCAGTGGTAAAGCAGCCCTGGTTCAATCCCCAGTACCACAAAAAATAAAAATAAAAGAAGCAATGAATGAAAATAGAACCCTGATCACATGGTCAGGTAACTCTGCTTCAGACCATGCTGTGGTCTGAATCTGGAACATCCCCCAGGCTCCTGTCTGCTCCCACCGGGCACAGTGGTAATGTTGGTGGGGCCTGGCTGGCTAAGGCAGGCCAGCCCACAGGTTCAGGTCTCTGAAGGATGTGCCTTCTCCCGGACCCTTCCTCCTGCCCTCTGGGCCCCAGCAGACATGGGGTGAGCAGCCTCCTCTGTTGCACACTCCTGCCTTGACATTCTGCCTCACCTGAGGTCAAGCAATGGGGCCAGCTCACCCTGGACTGAAACCTTGGAGACCGCGAGGCACAACAGATCTCCTGCCCTTCAAGCTGTCTTTCTCAGGCACCCTGAAGCAGCAATTGTGTTTCAGTCGGCTTTTTGACTGCTGTGATTCAAGGACCCAACCAGCACAACTGCAGAGAAAAGGTTTATTCAGGGGCTCACAGTTTTAAAGGTCTTAGTCCATAGAAGGCTGGCTCCATTTCTCAAGGCTCGAGGTGAGGCTGAATATCATGGTAAGGGAGTGTGGCAGAAGGAACCAGCTCCCATCATAGTAATCATTAAACAGACACAGTCCATACGCCAGATACCAATATATCCCCAAAGCCCCATCCCAATCCCACCTCCTCCAGCCTCACCCACATCAGCTCCACTCAGTTAATCCCTGTCAGGGAATTAATTCACTGATTGGGTTAAGACTCTCACAACCCAATTGTTTCTCCTCTGAATCTTCTTGCACTGTCTCACACGTGAGCTTCTGGAAGACACCTCACACCCAAACTATAACAAATAGAAAGCCACCATAGGGCACAGGCCCCAAAGAACTAAAAGCAGGGTCCCAGACCCTCACTCAGCCATGTGCACAGCAGCATCACTCCTACCAAGAGGTAGAAGCCTGACCGCCTGCCCCGCTCCCATCTGCAGGAGAGTGGGTGGGCATGGGGTGGTGTGTGCTGTGCACTCAGTGAAGCACCGTCCAGCCTAAAA